CGACAACTCGCCAGTCATTGTCTAGGGTGCGACTGCGGACCGCCAAGGCAACGTGGAGTCTACCGATGCCTTACCCATTTCTGTCTACGAGGCGAAGGGTCAGGTTGCAGTAGACCGACCCCACTAAAACCCTGGTCGCGGTGGACCAAACCCATCCCTCCCCAGCTCGCGCCAGGTCAGGTCAGCGGGCCGTTTTCGGAGGAGCGGACCGGCGCCTCGTCGTCTCGCCGTATTAATCGTCTCTCCCGACGCCTGAGAGCCTCCTTTGTGGCCGCTGCCAGAGATGACCCGACGATGGGCCCCATGGTTGGGACGGGGCGCGGCTGGGCGTTCGGCTAGGGGCTTGGCTAGTGGTCGATGTGGCTTGGCTAGTAGGATGTAGTTTGGTTTGTCTGTTGTGGCATGGCTAGTTTAGCTAGTTTTAAGTTTTTAGGCAATGGTTTGGCTAGTGAAATGTGCCTTGGCTATAGGGACATGGCTTAGATAGTGAAACGTAGCTTGGCTTGTCCAATGTGACTTATCTAACAAATCTTGAATGCAAATATTCAATCCTAGAGTAAGATATAAGAAACTTTGAAAAATAGGTAGCAAAAAATGGATTGAACTATTTGGCTATAGGGAGGTTGCAAACACTTGTATCATACAAGTCTTAAGACCCAAAATGCAAAGTCATATGTTATGGAGAGCTCATGGTAAAATAGATCTAAAAATATATTCAAGCACTTAATTACTGATGACCTCAAGCATACCGTGTTCACATCACCGGGCAGTGCCCCATGAGAGCGGGCCAGAGGGCGCCGGGTGCAATTACATTAAATCCGGCAATGCATCGCCAGCGGGGCGTTTAATTTCACGGCGGACGGAGCCCACACGTCTGTCCGATTCGCTACACAAATAGACCTACTGGGCGACTACGTGGTGACGGAAAGACGCCCACAGGGTGGCTCAATGTGCCTCACAAATAGTTTCACACGGTTACTAGTGGGCAAGTACTTGATTGTGATATGACGCCCGCAGGGTGATTTAATTCGATACACAAATAGTCCCATTCGGTGACCAATGGGTGATTACCTGGCGGCATATAGGCATCCACAAGACTATTCCTAATAAACAGCCCGATCTGTGACTATTCGGCCACTACCTGAGGCCAGTAAGGACCTCAAGCGGTGGTTAAATGTGTCGCACAAATAGTTTCCGACGGGGCTCACATGATTGTTAGTATCATTCATTATTTCGAGCCAATGTCTGAGCTCACCTCAAGTGGAAAATCGAGAAGGCTCGGACGGAGCTGCAATTGATGTTGGATAATCACTCGGAGATTACATGTATCAGCATATTATTACATAAGGGCAGGGCTCAATATGAAATTGTGCTCGCCGACGCAATTTAGTTTAACTTAACTCGGATGTTCCGGTACGGATGCTCCGAGATAAAGAACATGAGGCATTGTTTTCGGGCTGCTCTTGTCATCAAGGCAACAATCACCTTCCCCGCAGCGCATTTAAACTACCTGGAGTCGCCTCTGGCCGCTAACCACAGGGCCATGAACTTGCACGGTCACCCAAAGTTCCCAGGGTGGTCACGACCTGGCAATCACAAAGAGTTAGAGTTGGCAACTCCGAGTTACGGGCAGTGAATGGCGAGCATGACGGCGATGTCCCTTTTGTCAGAGAGGTCGTCAAAGGGCAAGAAAATGAACAGAGACTTGTGTCATTCTAGACTGGTGCAGTGTTGTCATCACCAACAGAAGCATTAACATTTGTTAGAGCCAGTCGCCACCACAACAGTCATCATCAGCTATAAAAGAATCGCCGGTCGCCGAGCAGCAGCCCCCCATAATGGACAGCTCAGAGCGTTGAAAGCAAGCAATACACCGCATTTATCAACCCATCTACAAATATGAGTTCGTGTCTGCTGAAATTCACAGTCCATTAGAATACAACCGAACTTTCGTCTCCAAAGACAACCACTTTAGCCTGAATTATAAGTGCTAACTGCGGTGTATTTTCTTCGGAGAAGCATCACCTGACTCTCGATGGTTCTGTGGGAGGGGCACGGGGTGCCAGACAGACCATTGGCAGAGCCGCCCGGACCAGACAATCAATAGGTCGCCGCGACCGCCGTGGGCGCAGATCGACCCCCCCCCCCCCTCCCCCTCCAACCCCGCGCTTCCGTCGTCACTCTCATTTCCAACACCGGGACGGGAAGAGCCAGTGGTTTGAGAAACGTACATGAAGCAAACCAGAAACAACAACGGTTAGTAGACATGTTATACGAATTCACAAGCTTGATAACAACAATGCCTTTGCGTGCTTCATAAACACGCACGGCTTTGTGTGTTTATTGTTTATGACAATTAGGTACTAGAGCCGAAACATGTGATATCAAACTTTGTCAACTCATCATATCAATGTAATCGACGTGAGCGAGCACAATGGAATACGGTTGTCAGCATGACAAAGCAAAATAAGATCGTCAGCAAAAATTGCATTCATCGCCAAGCTAGTATCGTGTGTGACGGGCTATATCCGTTTATCCCATTTACTAACCGGATATGATTTCAGTGATTTACTTCACTAATCTGGCTCAGGCACCCAAAAACGGATATCACATTTGCTTGTCATCTCCTTCTTCCACGTCAGTACGTTAACCGAGCCTAATCGAAAACAAATATTCCTTTCAGATATTCGAAACGTTGACAATCACCGATCGTCAAACATCAGTAAGCTATGACGATTTTGCTGTCGTGCGTTTCCCAGCCAACACAGGCGCTCATAGATTACGCCGTAACCGTAGTGTCACAACATAAGCCGAGCCTATTTGGTAACAATTTGAAGCAGTTCTTTTAGCTCCGTCCGCCATTATGGGCTACAAAGTGGAGGGCTAAGTGAGCTACACGACAGTTCAAGCCATTAAATGCGATGATGGTCGCCAGCGAGCTCACAGGCCTTTCAGTGAATTAATGAAATTGAAAGTAAATATCGCATGAACAGACCAAAGTGAAAACCGAGACGTGTTTACCCTTCATCACTTTTGAGACTAAATTAAATCTGATATTTGAAAAACCAGTGGCGCTAAATTGTAGCGAGCATCCGAATCAGGGCATTTCCTTCAACAATCGACAACGTTGATATTACTTTATCTCACCGTAAACTCAGAAACAAATATTAAAAACAGCTCACCTGACAATAACAGCAATGACACGTTACCCCATTACTCCGCGAGTCTTATACTGGTTAATGGTTATTGCTGTTTACATATTCACACGTCAAGAGCGCTGGACAAAATAACTATACCGCACACGACCGGTTTGAAAAGCAACTGCCCTTCTCCACCACTTAATCACACCTTTTTATCAGGATTTCGAAATAAAAACCGGTCTTATGTCGGTAATGTGTGAGGTCGGTATTGCTAGGCTGAATATTATCATTCTGACACTTCAGACCAAGTTCTGAACCAATTGCTGTCTCCGTGTCCCCGTAGATAAACGCTTCAACGTAAATCCAAAACTTCTTTACAGTTCTTGGAGAGAAACGCCGAAAATAAATATGGCCAATGTCAACAAAATCAACTATACAGAGGAACCATCGCATGTAAAGAGATAAAAACGTAACCCATAGGCCCATCTGCTTATTTGTAGCGTTGCGGAGATTTGCTAGAATTCGGCTCCTTGCTTGCGACAAGAATAAAAAGAAAAATAAGGTAAAAAGTTACAAAAAAACGATGTATTTTATGGGAGGAGATGGAAGACAACAAGAATATAAAGACTAAATTTCCAAGATATATAGAGCATCGTTTGTACAAATGAACAGTGAGCACCGGATAACCATTCATCTAAGAGTCAGCCATCAGTTGTGCATTCAATTGCACCCGGCAATGCAGAGCACATTTATCACAATCGTCTCTTCATTTTCGTCCATTACCTTGACTAATGATAAGACGTATGATAGGTATGTTTGCCCATAGTCCCTAGATCCTAAAAATAAACGATGTTTTTTCCTCATGAACAATCATTAACGGTAGACAGCCCTGCATACAATCTAACTACCAGATTGAGTGCATCGTTCTATTTGAAAGTGTTCGATTTCACATTCCATTTAGACCGAAACAAGAACGCACTCCCTGGAGTGTACGCAGAATCATATTGCATAGGCAATCCGCATAAGGGTCACATATCAACTAAATATAGAACGAATTCATAACTGGTAGAGCGTATCGCATTGTAAATGTGACGGGTCATTTGGTCAGGTCGCCTGGGCATTTCTGTGGCACGAGACCCCGCAGTGCCCACAGGGAATTCAAACAGAAGGGTCACATTACGACATTGTCTCTGATAAGGCCGGCACAACATCGGATAACTGAGGGGTTTCGTGATCTAATAAATCTGTTTCGTCCAAGGACCAACATCCACTACCGTTTTCATTTTCCTCTTCCTGATTTATCAGAACTTCGTAACTTCCCGTTTTTCAAATCTTTTCGAAAACGATATAACAATGAATGAACATAAGATTTAATTTATCATCGGACGAATGGAAGAGCATATTGAAGGTAAGAGCAGAGGCAAAGGCATAGAAACGCTGAGCGAGGCATAGAAATGCGAGCCATCTTGGATAAGCTATCAAGCATTAGCCAGCTTAGCAGATTTCCGTATAGCAAACCAGTTTTGTCGCTAAAACAACGATTTAAGATAAGGTCCGAAGAAGGAACGCTTCAACAAATACCATAAATGTAACCGAACAACTAATGTCGTACTGCGCGTAAAACGTCAGGTTTGGCGATGGAAATGGCTTGAAACCGTAACTCAATTTCAGAACTGAGCATTGATGTGTGCATTGCGGCGATGCACAAAACCGATTGCGTACCTCAGTCTGAAGAGTTTCTGTGAGGCGTCTGGCGTACCTGAAGTGTAAAGTGGTCCCATGTGTACCTCTGTGTAGGGTACCATTGTATGAAGTGTACCTGTGTGTATCTGTGTATGTGTACCCCGCGTGGTACCGTACCTGCCATATGTCCCGAATGCCGCAGTGCCGGAGTCGCTCCGGGCACGGGAGAGCCCAGCTGATTCCGGGGAGCCCTCTCCGGACCGCGCGCACGAAACGAGAAGCCGGACATCCGCAATGCGCTCACTGTGCCTCAGCACTGTCTCACTGTCTCAGCACTGTCTCACTGATGTCTCACTGATGCCTCACCACTGTCTCACTGATGTCTCACCACTGTCTCACTGTCTGATGTCTCACTGCGTTCGCTGTCTCACCACGGCCAGTAACCCATGTTATTGTCGCTGACAGACAGCTTTGTGTCACCAATATTCACCCCAATGTCTCACTTCTGTCTCGCTGATGTATCAGGCTGTCTTGCCCACCACTGATGTCTCAGCACGCCAGCCGATGTATCGCAACCGTCTCACGGGTTCCTTATGACTATTACAGAGTTTCGCCAATTCCTCACTGGTTTTATCACTGTCTGCAAAGTGACAGCCAACCTTTTTTGTTCACATTCCACCAATGTGTCTCCCTCAGAACTTAAAACGACACGACCCCACTTTTAGTCTCCGCCGTCCAACGTTTATCGTTCAGTCTCGTGGTTCACAATTTTCTGCTCGGTTTTGTTTTTCCTCGCTGCACACTGTATCACACCGGTAGATTTGTGCCTCATTTTGTCTCCCTGACGCATCAATCCGAAAGGATTTGAACCACCATCACGGAGTTCAGTTGTTGGCGTCGATCCGAGTTTGCAGGTGTCAGAAAGTGTCATTCAGTGTCAAACGATGACACTCGGTGTCACAATTCCTCGCCGTGAAGATCACAAACTATCACGGTAAAATCCAACAAGACCGCAGTCCTTGCCTCTATAAATCACCGCAAAGTCCAATCACACCTTCTCCGTTGTCTGTTTTCAACACTGTCCCTAAAAGCACGCACTTTTGTCGTCCACGCCAATGTCCAGCGTTAACACAATAAACCCTCCCCTGTACCTCTACTGTCGCCTCGAGGGGCGATCTCAAACTAGCAACCGTCCGACCGCGTCGGCAGCCCCGCAGCCGGCTCGAGAGCATCCCGCAACGCCGTAACACGCCTGCGCCCCTCCCCGCACCACGGCCGGGCCATCAAACAACGCCGGAGCGGCGCGGCGAGACGAGCGGCCGAGTTAGCACGGCCGGTGGCACGGAGCCCGTTTCGTTATTGGCGGATGGCTCCGAATGGCGGTGGGACGGGGCACAAGCGAGCCCGCCCCACGCTCGATGGCTGGCTGGCTTTCACGGTCAATGTCGGCCCGCGAGGGGGGATAGGGGGGGGACGCACGACTGTGGAACGCACAACACATGAGGTGGGGGGGGGGGGGGGGGGGGGGGGGGGGGTCGTACGCCGTACGCGCGATGCGTGTCAGTGCCAGCTGACGTATTGAACGGAATTCTAAGAAGCTGACGAGCGCGGTGACCAGACCGGCTCCTGGCGAGATATTCAGCCATACGCCGACCGTTGGTGAATCATAGAATGGGCAGAGGTTCAAACGTCAGCTAAAGGAACTTAGGAAGGCGTAACGCGGAACAGGTTCAAACCCAAAGTTGATTTGCAAAGCTACGTCGGTACCTTGTGAAGTTCAAATGTAACTGACAGATAGGTATGTGAAGGCTTTTGGAGACAGAAACGCAGTCAGTGTGATTTGCAAATATACTTCGTAACATATTTTTCAGTGATGCCTCAGCAATTTGATCTGCCCATGTCACGTGTCACAAAATCAGTAGCGGCGGAACACCTTCAATTAAGGAGGGGGGGGGGGGGCACTGCCGACTTTTGGTCGCATTCTTTCCATGCAACGCCCATAGGGCTAGTGTTAAAATGCCCAAATCAAGGGGCGAGGGGATACGGTGCCCCCCATAGGCGGCGGAACGGGGAGTTCACCGGGGCACCGTGCTCCCCTTTGACTTTGGCATTCTAACGTTAGCCCTATGGGCGTTGCATGGAAAGAATGGGACCAAAAGTCGGCAGTGCCCCCCCCCCCCTTAATTGAGGGTGTTCCGCCGCTACTGGTGCCCCCCCCCCCCGTTCCGCCGCCTATGCACAAAATATGTTGCATGACCTTTTTAATATATTAAATATCAAATGATACGAATAATAATCGAATTATAAACGCTGGAATGAATGTTTGCTTTATATCTAAATGTCTTGCTAAATAGCTTTAGTATTTAAAGTGATTGTAAACATCTTCTCTACACGGTGATCTGGAAATTACATTTGATCTAATCTTGGGTAGTTGTTATAGAATCCGGGGAATCACAGCGGGCGATATCAAAATGCTCTGGACTCCGACTTCCCAAATCCCATATCGACCGCTGCAGGTGACGTCTTGGACAGAAACTTTAGCAGAAGCCGCAATGTGCAGCCCTCCGTGAACCACGCGAATTAATTACGAATGAAGTGGCAGGAAGTTATAAGTGCTATTTCGACATTGGCCCGCGACGAATAACACACGAAATGCTGTAAATTGGTGTGAAATTGAAACTTTAAGGAAAACATCGGTTGTTAAATTTATAACGTTTATTTACTTACGCATAGGAAACTGGAAAATCAAACGTTGACAAATCGTTCGGGGCGCAAGACTGGGGTGGCGTCTTGTAAATGTAATTGGGGCAGGCGCACTATCAATCCAGTCTGGTCAGGGCTCCACACCTGGCGTAAATCCGGACTTACAGTTTACACCCCCGGGACCCGAGTATTGCAATGTGACAAAAGATATGTCTGCTTTTACTTTTGTCTCACCTTTGGCTTGCTATGCCCGCGATTGTTTCGCTTTACTTTTTTAATAGTTAGTGCACGTTCAATTCACTTCCATCTCCAATAAACTGTTTGTTTAGCGTTGAAAGCATTGCGAGCGACAATGGGATCTAAATAACCGCATGTTTACATGTTGTGGGAAAACCGCGTAAGCTCACACGTTTCCATTCATCAACATGCTAGATAAGCGACATAAGTGGGAATAAGTTTCGTAAGTGACACTCTGAATGAATGAAGATTAGATAAGTCGCAAAACAAGACTTCACCACAACATTACAACAAGACGTGAGCACGGCGACTTCATCAGAACTTGACGTCAATGCCCGAATCGACAAAACAGCTCCAGCAGAGCTCACGTGATAGCGCACCACTTATCTACGCACTACGCAGCCATTCTGACGCCAGTGACGTCATTAAATCGATACTGACGTCACTGGGGGACATTGGCTTCCCACCAACACGATGACTCAAATCGGCCTGTTTTGACGCTGATATGGCGATGCTGGTGGGTGGGCGATATTTTCAGTTCTGGTAGTTCCAGCGTGGGATAGTCGTCTGTAAGTCTCCAGCTCCCAGAAAAAGTTATTCCGATAACAGTAATGCGCTGATGCGTTGTGGGAGGAAACATTGCCTGCGTAAAGCTGAGCAGGCGGTAAGATGAAATTGAAAGTTCCAGAGGCATCTGTCGTGAATCATTGACATGGAAAGTTATGCATCTGCATATGCGATAATGATAGTCAATGCCAAAAATACAGCAATGCTTGTGAGAAACGATGTTAAAACGCTGAAAATGATACATTTTGCACTAGGAGCGCCAACATCAAACGTGGCAATTCGTGGTCGAATCATTTGCAAAAGGTATTGAAAATATTTGGTACGAAACAATTGGTATGTCGCGAATGCGGCAATATTACACTGAGGCAGCCAATAACTCAGATTAGAACGCTCCATGCATTTGTTTTATTATCAATCTTCATTTATTTTCACCTCCCACCTTTTCATTTATTTCTCACTCGGGTTCAACTTCAGCAAACTTTACGAATAGATAGCCAGACTTTTTAAGTCACCTTCCTTGCATACGCCAGTGAGGTCAGTGATCAGTGACCATGCAAACGCAAGACCGGTGACTTGAGGCATCCGAGAGGTAACTTTACAGGCGCCAGAGCAGTACCTTGAAAGGCGCCGGATCGGTGACTTTATAGGTTTCACGTGTTTATACAGGCGTCGGACATTACAGGACCTGCGCATCAAAGGACATTACAGGAAAACCAGCGGCTTTACAAGCGCCAGGTCGGTGACTTTACAGGCGCCAGTGCAGTGACTTTACAGGATATACAAGTGACTTTACAGGCACCAAAGCGATGACTTATTACAGGCGCCAGTGCGGTGTCCTTGTCCTTACAGGATTTAAATGCGGTGACTTAACTGAGGCGCCAGAGCACTTGACGGGTCTTACGAGTACAGGCGCCAGAGTTCTAATATTGACTTTACAGGCGCTAGAACACTGACTTTACAGGCTTCTCTGACTATACAGGCGCCAGGGCGGTGACTACCGACGCCTGGGGCCGGAGCGGTCACCAGATGCGACCACAGGTGTAGTTTGTCGGAACTGCCGCCATATCTGCAGCGGGGTCGAGCGTAAATCAATGCCAGACCATCACCGCGCCGCCAGCCGGCTACTTTTTGTCGACTTTTTTGTGGCATCCTTTTTGGCGAGGCAAAACAGAAGTGATGCTACCGTTCTGATATTGTGCGGTAAATAATGTTCGAAAAAGGGACTGCCGCATGGCGAAATGTCATCGGTAGGTCTAATTGCTGTCAGCAAAAACGAGGGAGAATTTCAAATGAGGTTATTGAAGACCATCAACATCAATATTGAAAGTCAATGTTGAGTAAGTACTGGTTCCATAGAGATGAAACGTTCAATAATAGTAAATGGCGAACTTTTATAGCCTAACTACTGAGGTAAAATGAAGCCAATGAACGGTTAGCCCGCTTTAGCCAAAGCTAAGTAACTCCATGACATCAATGAGGTCGCTCAAGTGACATATTTTGATAATGAATTATCTTTAACAACCAGTATAGCGCCTTTTGGGGCGACTAACGGAGCGAGCGAGGGGGTGAGTCTTGCACGTGCGAAATTTCGAGGGGGTATCTCCAACTGACTTGTGCACGGCACCCTACTGACCGGTTTCTAGCGATGTGCCAAATTTGAGCACAATCGGCCCAGCCGTTCTCGAGATCTGGAAGCGGCACCCTGCACGTGCGCACGTGCAAAATGGGTCCCAACTGACTTGTGCACGGCACCCTACTAACTGGTCCCTAACCGTGTACCAAATTTGAGCGCCCTCGGTCCAGCCGTTCTCGAGATCTGGAAACGACCCCTGCACGTGCGCACGTGCAGCAGCACCCCAACTCTGGCACATGGATATGCAGTGCCTAGTGGGTGCCTACCTACATGCCAACTTTCAGCGCAATCGGCCAAGTAGTTACCGAGATATCGCAACAATTACAAAAGTGACACCTCTTCGTTTTGCACGTGGCACGTGCATAAGGGGTCACCCACATGCATCGGGAATAGTCCAATACTTGGTAGAAGGAATGAAGCTACCCTACAAAAATTACCGCATGTAAATCGGTCAAGTGGTTGCTGAGATATAAGCCTCGCAAAAGCGTCCGCACGGCCGGCCGGCCGGCCGGCCGGCCGCTCATACTCAGAAATTTCCGTTATTCTACGTAAGACTCCGCTCGCTTCGCTCGCTCCGTAATCAGCATTGTATCTCGGTTATATACAGGGTGGGGCAGCATAATCGGGAATGCTTTTTGGGCTCTGGTCATGAGTAGGCATGGCATTATTTTGATAAATTATATCATGGCAATGAAACGCCCAAAAGTTGTGCATCATCTGACATGACTACATCCATGAGCATGCAACTTCCTGGAAAAGAGCAGCAAAATAGTTCGACGGTGCTCCAAGTGCTTTGCGCGCGCCCATAGACACTAATGTTAAACGAGTAAAACAAGAACATTTTGTTTAAAACAATGCCATTCCACGTAAAGGTTGCTGGACAGGTCAACGTGTTATCACGGACGATAAGGATTGTGTGGGGATACTTAGGACAAAAAGTTAACGTAATCGTCGTAAAATAACTCTTAGCAGAGGACATACAAGATGACTCACTTGAATATAAGGAAGAAGCTCTTGAGCATATTAAAAAGAAACAATGTTCAAAACTTCAGCGACCAAAAATCTTATCACCGACTGGAATACGATAAAAAAGAATGGCATGCCATATAGGGGATTGTATCGAGAATATTGCAGCGGTCATGCAAAGTAAACATCCTGTTGAGGTGATGGACCTATGGGTGGTCTTCAAGGGAGGTGCACGTGGTGCACCCTACTTCATCGAGCCCGGATAAAACGAGCACCTCTGGTAAATACATCCACACTCTGGCAGACTCACGTGGAGTCGTCGGAAGAGAGGATCACTGACGGTCCAGATCACGTCTTACGAGGACTCTGTCCGTGCTGGTACTGCAGTGAGGACGACATGTTATTGTGTAGGGCACCTCCACCTGAGATGAACCAAAAACTTCTGGTCCTTCAACTCCGCCGATTTAAATCCGACCAAATTCTTTATATGGAGCGTTTTTTGGTAGAAGTTTAATGAACAACTTATCATCAGTAAAAACGGTCTTCAGTGCAAGGTACGAAGCTGATGGGCGATCATGGACAAGCAGGAGGCTGCACGTGCATGCGCGTGCTTTTGGACCCGCCTTGAGAAGGTCATCGACGCGAAGGGCGGTCAAATAGGATGAGGGATAGGTAAAAGGTGACCGATTGATGGGATGTTGTTAAAATAGTGCTTGGAGCTATATTTTTAAATTCATGACCAAATAATCCCGTTTGATATTTATTCCCGATTATGCTGCCCCACCCTGTATTGCACTTTAACGCTAAATGTGAACAAAACTGGACCCTGTGTTTCCAAATGACTCCGGCGAACAAAAACATTGAACAATGAAACGGAAGTGAACCAAGCCCGTACTCTTCTCGTGAGTTCTATCAAGTGCCACTAAATCACATATACCAAAAATATTGCATCTAGCAACGTGGTCACACCACGCTTGTCACACGCATTCTTTGCATCGCTTGCCTTACTAACCCAGCTTCGTCGTAGAGCATATGCTCGTCAAGACAGCCCATATTTAGCCCGGATTCAGCCCAAACATGTAGAGCATCACCAGATGTGTGTCACCAAGCTATGCATAGTTTAAATTAATCTCACTAGCCCCTAGGCGAGTGGCGACAAAACATCTCATCAAACGTCGCTTTACTCTGGTATCTTGATCGCCTTTGCCGCCGTGGTTCTCCCAAACCTCCCCCTCCTCCCATCCCGCCGTCGCGTCCGTCCCACAATTCGTCGGTGGAGAGCGCCCCTCCCCTCCCCTCCCCCCACGCGGGAGGGTCGCTCCCCCAGGAAGGACAGCGTTCCAAGGTCACCTCCCTGTCAGTCCTGCGCAATACACGAGGATGAGGGGAGAGAAACAAAGGCGGGCACTGTGTCAGGAGAGGGAGGGAGAGAGAGGAGAGAGAAAGAGAGAGAGAGAGAGAGAGAGAGAGAGAGAGAGAGAGAGAGAGAGAGAGAGAGAGAGAGAGAGAGAGAGAGAGAGAGAGAGAGAGAGAGAGAGAGAGAGAGAGAGAGAGAGAGAGAGAGAGAGAGAGAGAGAGAGAGAGAGAGAGAGAGAGAGAGAGAGAGAGAGAGAGAGAGAGAGAGAGAGAGAGAGAGAGAGAGAGAGAGAGAGAGAGAGAGAGAGAGAGAGAGAGAGAGAGAGAGAGAGAGAGAAGCATTACATTCTAACGGTAAAACAAGATACAGCCGTAGAAAGAGCGGCAGATGCATCCACTACCCAATGCAACAAGCTAGAAACATCGTGAAATGACTAGCCAATAAACAACCAGATTGACAGCATACTGTCCGAATCGCAAAACATCAAACCCTCACTCTTCACTGCCAATATCGTTGCAAAGAAAGATCATCTAGTCCAGGATTCAGACATGGATCAAATGGAAGGGAGTAAAGCCAGCAAAGAAACAATTTATCTACTTTTTTGTTTTGGAAAACGCAATTGTCCTTTTTCACCTTTATTTTATGAATATATGATATATTCATTCAAAAATCGACAACAGTGCACGCCTTAAAGACAGATTTACACACAAAAATGATAACGCGACATGACAGGACAACCAGGACGACACAACTACATGCGATCTAACTATGTAACACAAATACTGAGCATGTACCAACGCCCACACCAAATCGCTTATCTATCTTACCCTGGTGACTGAATCGAACGGGCGTGAGGCACTTCTACGCCAGTAATTCACAACTATATAAATGGGAAAATAGTTACCACTAGACAAATCAGACGTGAGCGTATTTGACTATAAAAAAGCTATTTAGCGCCATAATTTTGCCCGCATAAAACGAAAAAAAAGCGAAACGCAGAACTAAGAAGTGATCCAAAGAAGTGAAGTGAAGTCCAAAGAAGTGATTTCTCAAATTCATTCATTTATAAATTAACGTAACCTAAACATAACACGACCCATCTAAGCAAGGTGTACTAATCTATGTATGCTGTACTACAGACTGAAATCAGCTAGTAAATAGGCTATGGAAGCACATGGTCATTGAAACAAATACTGGCTACTAGAGATGATCTCATAAAAATACGTTCATCAATCTGTAAAATAATCCCCCGCCGTCAAGCCGGCGCGTGTGCATCCATAAGGCCACGGCAACAGACCAAAGTCGCCTCACCAGGTAATTACATAAGGCGAGGGTGAGCTTAGTGTCTCCTAGTACCCAATGACCGAGCTATCTGCGACTGAAAAACCAGTTCACCAACCTCCACAAAATCTGGGTACATCAGCTTATCACCGCATCAGTTACACAATACTGAGAATCAATCACCAACGACTCACAAAAGCCACACGAAAAGTTGGATTAATTGAACCTTCCGCAATATTACTCCAAAACAACACGGCTGGATTTCTGACGCGTAGTTTTCCACCGCCCGACTTTCCTCACCTTTATTTGACTCAGCCCGGAAGTACGCAGTCACTACGCAGTTACCGCTCCCTCCCTCTTTCCCTCCCTCCTCTGTCCTTACATTCCGGTTCACTGCTCGCTCCCGGGCCGTCCAGAAACCCTCTCTCCACGCCCTTACAGGCGCGGAATATCGTGCTCCAGTTCAGGCGGCAGGGCGATGCCCTTCTCCTGAGCAAACTTGCGGATGGCCTCGTACTTCTGGTAGTAGGCTTCGATCTCCTCACGCATACGCCGGTTGTCGTCGATAGTCCGGAGTCGCTCGCGCTCCTCGGCTGATTTTTCAGTCTCCAGCTCGTCTTTCTGCTCCAGGCGCTTGACGCGACAGCTGGCGGACGGAATGAGAAGCTCAGGTTGGGAGGTTCGCCACGTGGCGCTAGCGGCGTGGGACGAAGGGACGAGCTCGTCTCCAGCGGGACGATATCACAATCCAACGATCAACGGAAAAGGTAGGAGCCAAAATTTGTAAACCACATGTGTAAGTATAATTTAGCAATCAACCTTATCCATTCTAAGATGGTATTTCATCCAAGCTATTTCGCCGACGCGTAAAGAGTTTGCAGCACATGGTGGTTGGGAGGGACATTGCTCGGGGTTAAATGAGCAGAGTTGATACGCATTACAAACGGACTACAATGGTGAGCGAATAGGAAAATCCGTTCCTGATACGCATTTACTTGCTCATGTAACCCCGGTCATTAACAGTATACAAAGGTCGTTGAAAACAGTCCAAAACGCAAGACATAAACTTATATCATGTCTTCCTTCATGGAACCTTTTCCGCTTGAGCTAAACACTGTTACAACAGCAAGATGATGCTAGCATACTGAAAAATGTCACCTCGAAATGAACATCATGCCAAAACCCAGAGGCTTGGGAACTAGGCCCACCGTACAAACTACATCACCTCTCATAAGCATCAACAGCAAGACCAAACGAGTCGGAGAAAGGTTCACGAAAGCAGTAGCGGCGGAACACCTTCAATCTAAGGGGGGGGGGGGCTGCCGACTTTTGGTCCGATTCTTTCCATGCAACGCCCATAGGGCTAATGTTAAAATGCCAAAATCAAAGGGGGGGGGGCACGGTGCCCCGGTGCCCTCCCCGTTCCGCCGCCTATGCACGAAAGTAGTTATATTTAATCATTCCCAGAGTCAACCTCCACATTCTGCAATTCATATTCACGTCTTCAAGATTCCACATCTCCCAGCCAAACCCCCGGACCCACCTAGCGGCATATCCCCTGTTCTTGAGTGTGCGCCTGCGCTGTTTCATTTTCACCATCTCCTCCCGGCTGAGTCCCCTCATCTTCAGCTGCCTGTTGAGGTCACGGACGCTGATGGTGACCAGTTCGTCATCGCTGATCAGGGATGATGGAGGGCTCAGTGGCGCCTGAGGGAGGGAGGAGAGTTAGCCGGGGGCAGATAGTCAGGGCATCGCAGCCCCCTCGCCTTGGGACGTAGCCCCTGCTGATTTGACCCACTGCGTCCCTGCCCTGTGCCCTGTCCGGTTCCCTGACCTGTGCCCTGCTGTGTGCCCCGACCAGTACCCTTCCCTCTAAAATGTCCTGTGCCATGCCCTTTAACCTGACGTGCCCTACTTTCTGCCCTCCTAAGTGCCCTGCCCTGTTCCTTGCCCTGTGCCCTTAGTCGTAGCACGTGCCTTCTGCTCAACTTTGGGACGCAAAAAAAAATTGTTAAAATTATGCCCTGCAGATAGTCCGTACGGTGAGATGGAAATTCGTGGATACTGCAAGAATGTTATCATCCGAGGAACTCCCCGACTGAATGTCACCCATACCGTCAATCATCACGGATACAGTTTAGGCAATCGCTTCACAAAGGTGGCTAGTGTCGTGATTTATTAGCTACCGACTCCTTAGCAAATACAAGAGCTATGACGTCAAGTGGCATATTCTCTACGATACAACGTGATATCAAATGACATGACAGGTATTCGCCAATGTAAAGTAACGCTGATACCGAGTCCGACATGCACTTATGCAAGATTAAAATAGCGCTCCTATCAATTAAGCCTACATTGGAGACCGAGTCAAGCGCATTGGACTCCTACTGGCAAACAATGGACGTCAATCGTGATCTAGCAGTACCCAGCATCGTACGTGCGTGCTCCCGTTCCTTGCTTTAACCAAGATCACTCCCTCCGTTATATCGTAGTAAAACCCATTTAAATCTAAATCCCTTTTTCTGTACCGCCCAACAAGATGGCCAGGGCTCCACTGGCGATCGCTGTTGTGACAGTACTTCTGATCAGTCAGGCAGTGGCAGCCTCTCGTATTAATTGTCAACAAACAAACTGTGAATTCCATGTTCTACCCGAGTGTCAGGATTCCAAGAGTGTCTACTGCAACCTGAAGGATCGGCCATACTCACAGGTGAGTGGTGATAAATATTATGGCAAAAACTTTGTTTTGTTAAAGAGCAGGGGTGGAGCCGCAACATCGTCAAAGCGATGTGCTTTGCAGTGGTTATCCCAAGCTATCCCAAACTTTGCACTGGTTTGCACACTACTTGTCTTAAAGTTTGGATTTGGCATTAACTACTATGGCTCTCTGTATCTACTGACCAAGTTAAATAATATCATGCGTAGTCAATTCTGCTTCTTCTATGTTTTTTCCCTCTTCTTAGCAGGGAGTGCCGCGAATTTTTTAACTTTGATTTTGATTTTGGTGTTAACGTAAGGGTCCTGTGCGTCGCTGGGACTGAGTGTGGGGCACTCCTGGTTGCCTGATAATTGGTAACGGACTACTAGATAGAAAAAAAGTATATAATGTCATGGAAAGCCGAGAGACTAAATGTTATCGCTTAGCTGGGGCGGACACATTGTAACTGTCATTCAAAAACGGTTGAAACACCAAATTTATTCGGGTACACTACGAAGTCCCACACCGAACTTGCAAAATGTGGAGCTGATCCGTGAACGTGTGCACGTGAAAGATGACACCCCAAGTGACTTGTGCCCGGCATCCCTCTACCAATCCTACCAAATTTGAGCACCTGCGATCTGGATTAAAAGTTACTGGTCGAACTGTATCATAATCATCAGCCTTGTCTTTTTTCTTCCAGATCAACCTAACGTCTGCATCATTTCCGAAGCACGTCCGTGAGATCACGATTAGAAACGTCCATGAGCTGGTAGTTGAAGCGGACGCCATCGCATCTCTGCCCTTCATCGAGACCATCAAACTACACAACATCAGCACCTTGACACTTCACCCGCGCTCCCTTGCACGAGACGTCGCGCCTGATTGGACAGATGGGAGAGTTCACGAGGAAGATGTCGAGGTGCAAGAGGGTATGCTCTCAGAAAAGCGAAATTCTCGATCAGAGGTCCACATCAGCAATGTGGAACATTGTCGCGTACTAGGCATGGCCGTCACGTCGTCACGTCTTGGATCTCTACACATGCAGCAAGTAACAACCCTAGAAATCGAGGATGGCGCCTTCAGTGCCAGCACTGTTGACAACATCAGGTTGGCAGAGGTGAAGTCCTTGACCATCTCCAAAGGGGCATTCACTTCCAACGTAACCATTAAAACCCTGATGATGGAAGACGTGGACACTCTCACGCTGCAGTCGGGGGCTTTCGCACAAAGGGCGAAGATTCGGAAAATGTTTATAAAGCGAACACCAAACCTGATAGTTACCTCGGGTGGAATCAAGGCGGACATCGACATGCTGACACTCGAACATGCTGAAATGGAAACTTGTGAGGAAAATACATTCGGCAGCAACATCAAATCACTGTCACTGGTTTTCTCACACATCAAATACGCCAAAGCCGAGTGTGTCGCGGCTGGTAAGAGGTCAAAGAAACTGCTCGTGGACACTTCACGGATCGATCACATGGAGTGCCTGGCCATACACGGAACCATTGACCAAGTGGAAGCCACGGGCAGCGATTTTGGCACTGTTGTAAGAGGAGGCTTTACATTGAATGTTACAAGGTTCTCCGTTCAAAAAAGCACATTTGACGAAGTGTCTGGCGGGGCCCTCGAAGTGCATGCTAGCGACGAAATCAGTTTTGAGCAATGCACCATCAACGTTTTAAAAAGAGAAGCTCTCAGCATGCTTGAGGTGAAAGAAAGCCTCAAGGCTCGAATCATACTAGAGAATCTGAAGGTGGAAACGCCCGAAGACGGTTCGATGCAGCTTACTTCCAGGGAAAACATCCTGATCCAGAAGCTAGAGGTCGGCATTCCCTGCACATGCGATATGAAGACGGCAATAGGTTTGACCGACATCGAGAATGGTAATGACGCTCGAGCCAAAAGACAAACTGCATGGCCTTCTCAGATTTGTTGCAAGAATAACGGTACTTGGCCAACTTTGAAGGAGTACGAGCTGGCGTTCTGCTCGGATCCAGTCACCACAACTAAGGCCCCCACAATCATGTCCACGACTGCAACCACAGAGCGTCCCCCCATCGTCAACAGCGATCGTGCCAACAGGCTGACGCAGAAGCTAGACAAAGAACCAGAGTCAGATGAGCCCTACGTTGGCCTTTCCAATGAGTGCATCATCATGCTGGTTGTAACTTCCATCCTCCTTGTACTCGGCGCCGTCCAGCTGCGTATCACTATCCCATTCATCCGGCAGCATGGCACCAACTGGCGATCGGCAATGAAGAAGATGGAAACCACCGACAGCGAGTCAGTTGGATGGCGCGAAGTGGCACGATACGAAGAGTGTCAAGATCCGATATCCATGCAACGCCTCCTTGGCGCCCATGTACCGACTCGTGACGCTGGAACGATGACAGAGCTCACGTTCTATCAGACATCAAGTCCGAGAGTCAGTCACGCCAGCACGGCATCCGGCGAATCAAACAGCAATCATCAGAGGGATTCCGGAGTCCTCTCGGATAACTACCTTCAGTTCATGGGGACATCTACGCCGATCGGAGCATCCGGAAATCTCGCACAGCACCCTGGAGGGTACATGGTGTTGCAGAGCCACAACACAGTGCCTCAGAGAGGACGAGTCGTCCGCGGCCGGACTCCGAACAGGCGCAGGTGGAAGAGCGCGGGAGAGATCCGCTATTCACTGGAAAGAGGGGGCCCGGTGCCTGGCTACCCCATGAATCGACAGAAAGACCCACGTGTTCAGCAGCTGGCGCGAGATCCGCGCTGCAGGGCACTTCAGGCGGGTCAGTTGGAATCGGAGCTTTAGGAACCCTAGAACGCCAGCCTTGCGGCCTTCGATCATCAGAAGCTAGCTTAGCAACTACCTGGGGACAGTACTTGGAATGCTGATTGTTTAGGAAGGATTCTGAAGTCGACCCTTTTATGTTTACTTCCTTTCTTAAAGCTTCAAGCATTGAACAGTGACATTAGATCAGTGTCATGAATTGTGATGCAAAAAAAGATTAGCTCAGTACACGATGAAAGTTGAAACGATATTTTGCTCTTGCACCTTACTGATAGCACCAGCATAGTTGCAGCTCTTCAATACCTATTTTCTGTATTTAATGAATCGAGGTTTGTTGGTGACACCACGTCCATGTCTACACATCTCAATTTGTCAGATATCCGATTTGTTCTGGTTGACGGGATGTATTAGCTGACACGTGACTCAATGACCAAACCCCAGATAAATTTATATTAGGTATATTTATAAGATAAGTTGTATATATGTATGGATATGATATGTATTTTGCAAACTGAGCCGCTTGAAACAGTCGTGCACCTTTCATCGATTGTGTCCGCGACATGTTGTTATCAAGACCGATATATCGTAGAGTGGCTGATTGTACCGGCGCTATCGCATACCACAAGCACCAGATATTAGGCATATTATGACGCAGCTTCTAGGGATAAGCTGCAAAATGCAAAGGTCCGGTTAGCTTTCTGCGTCACAGCAGTGTCAACAATATGAATGTCAGCATGTGCTTATTAGAAAATGTGTTCAGACTGTATCGCCATGCTACGTTCCTGTGTGAACTGGCTATGAAATAAACTGATCCTAAGTGATGATCATAGCCTCAGTGTCGTCCCCGTCTCGCTAGCCCAGTCTGACCCAACATGACCCATACATCGCCTCAGGACTGTGACCAGTCTGACCCGACATGACCCATACATCACCCCAGACGAGGAATGTGCTTAAGGCAGCCCGCATGTTGCAATATTTAGATCACCTATAAAGTGCGCTGCCTACTGATAGGTGATACGACACACTACACAGTAACATCAGCATAAACTTATTGACAGGCAACTGGCAGCTGAATGAAGCTGAATGCGCCACTGAAGCAGTAGCAGCGGGGCAGTTGGTTCAGACTTCAGGGTATGGGATGACAGAGAAAGACATAAACATAGACTGTGCGGACCACCAGGGGTGCACCGCAGCGGCAGAGACCGTCCCGTTGAGTTGTCTCGGCAGCCCCGCCCTACCGTTCAAGCGGTCACTCCAGAGAGGGCGAAGTCCAGCGGGAAGAGATCATCCCTCACCACCGTAAGTCTAAATTGGGTGAACATTAGTCAGTCCTGGCAGAGCGCTGTGAAACAAGGATGCGGATGGGTTGATCACGAGGATAGCGAGGACCGATCAGTTGCGAAGTCCATACACCTGCCGGTGCGAGCTGCCTGCCATCTGCCGGCCGAGTCTCACACCAGTGCTGCCGGCGCTGCCCATGTGGGGTCGCTTTCGCAGCACCTCGATGGGAAATTTGTTGATGAGACGTTACACGAGTGATCTGTGATACCTAAAACCAAAACGACAGTCACCTTGCCCAGAAAGGGAATGCAAATCTACAGATTGTGAAGGCTATAATTAGTTTGAAAAAGACGTTCAGGCTTGCAGTACCTGTTTCGCTCGCGAAAGTTACGTTTGATTAGTTGAGCGTCAAACACTGTGTGCGATTTAGATATTCGTTTTGGGCAGCGTTTTAGAGGCGCGATTGCGTCAGCTGGCCGACGCGTGGCAGGTATACTAAAACCTTGGTTGTTTTGTTCTAGAAAAGGTGAGCCACGCCCCGCGCTGAATGTGTGAAGATATAGAGGGTACGGCTGCTATAGTAATTTAAACCCACGGTCAGATGTGGTAATTTCATTTTTGTTGTGTTGGTTGAAAACTGTAGAAGCCGTCAGTCATGATTGCAAGCTGAATACATGGCCAGCGATACATTTAAATTACTATAGCCATTCGGTTTGAAGTTTGAGCAGCCAGTTCAAGCTACAGTTTGGTTTGTTCTAAATTCTGAATTGATTTTCATGAAAAGGCTGTGTTGTTTTGATTGCCTAGTCAAGCTGGCAATGAGTTGTGTCAAGACAGATGTTGTGATGAGTGATGCGGCAAAGTTGGCTCGCTGCCAAGACAAGGTGAATGCCTCTCAAAAAGTGCAAGATGTGGAGAAAAGTTTCTGATGTTGATGTTTAATCTAATGGTGTTCTGTTCCTGAAAAAGTATATCCTTGTGGTGTCACATTTTACTTGTCATTGAAAGTTTGCTCTGGTAAAGCTCAGTTCACGTATTGAAGTCTCTAAAATGGAGAAGGAAAAGCTGAAGTTAAGGACGTCAGCAAAGAGAGCTTTTACTAGGCTAAACAATGACATCACAGATACTATTGAGCAGGAAGGTGATTTTGAACTCATTACAGAGATGTTTCAAAATCTGAAGGAAGCATGGGCTTAAGTGCAGGAACAGCATGAACAGTATGTGAGCTTTCAAGACGAAGAGGATGATGACTGGCTTGAGGACGTGTACCAAAAGTTCAGTGAAACTCAGAAGAAGTTTTTCTGTGCTAAGAAGGAAGAAGAAGGGAAGAAGGCAGAGGCAGTGAGGAAGGATCAGAGAAGCAAAATCCAGCTGAAGCCTGTTGATTTACCAAAGTTCAGTGGAAAAGTGAGAGATTACCCTCGCTTCAAAGCTGACTTCTTGAAGTATGTGCTTCCACACACAGATGAAGAAGCAGCCGCATTCACACTGCGCATGTGTCTCTCTGAAGATGCACGGGACAAGGTGTCACTGTTAGATGAAGTGAAGGACATGATGGACAAACTCGATGAGGAATATGGGGATCCATCTGCACTTACCGATCTGGTGATGAATGAAATCAAGAGGTTTGACATGAAAGGAAGCAGGAAGCTGATTGATTTCATCGATGTTGTTGAGAAGGCGTACTTTGATCTCAAGAATCTGAACATGGAGAAAGAGATATCGAACACGACCATTGTCAGCATCATTGAGATGAAGCTGCCAGAAGATGTGAGAAGAAAATGGGCTGAACGAGTGAATATGGATGACAGTCCTGTAGACAAATCTGACAAATTCCCTCACTTGTTAAAGTACCTGTTAGAAGTCAGAAGAACAATGAAGTATCTGTCTGCAGACCTGAGGGATCCTGTCCCAGCTGCCAGGAAAGGCCAGGTTCACAACGTGATGTCCAACAATGTGACGGCAAAACCAAGAGCGACAAAACAAATGTGTTGGTTACATAACAGCAGCACTCACTCCATTGAGGAATGCAAGGTGTTCTTGAACATGAACATGGAGAGAAAACAGCAGGTGGTGACAGAAAATGGAGTGTGTCGAAGCTGCTTGAAGCGTGGCCACAGGCAGCAGGAATGCAGAATCAGGAAGAGGTGTGAGGTCAGGAACTGTGCAGGAAACCACCACTCTCTTCTGCACCTGGAGAAGAAAGCCACAGGAGCTGCCTCAACTGTGATGGTGGCTACAGATGCAAGTGAGGACATTTGTTTACTACAGATCATGGAAGTGGAAAGTGTCCAGAGGACAAAGCTGAGTGTTCTATGGGATGGGGGAGCCACTATCAGCCTCATCCGGAATGAGCTTGCTGAAGAGCTCGGACTGGTTGGGACGCCCTGTCAGCTCTCTGTTATGGGTGTCGGCTGTGTCCGGAAAGTGATTCCCTCTAAGAAGTACATCCTTCCTCTGGTGGACACACAGGGAGAAGTGGTTGAGCTTGTGGTGTATGGGATTGAAAAAATCTCTGGTGCCATAGACCCAGTGGACGTGAGCAGGATCAAGGAGCTGTCTGATCTTCACATCAGGAGACCGACTGGAGAAGTGGATGTGCTGATCGGATATGAATATGCTGGATATCATCCAACAGTTCAGGATTCAGTGGGACATCTGCTGGTGCTGGAAAGCAGGTTCGGGAGGTGCCTCGGAGGATCTCATCCGAAGCTGAGAGATCTAACAAGAAGAGTGCACCCGCAGGGTCAAATTCTGCACATACGAGCAGATGAGGTAACCTTGCAGGACTTCTTCAGCACTGAGTCCCTGGGAGTGCAGTGTTCACCAAGGTGTGGAGGATGCCGCTGTGGACGTTGCCCGCCTGGAGGAAAGGACTACACTCTCAAAGAAGAGCGCGAGCTGAAACTCATCGAAGAGGGTCTGAGCTACGATCCAGAACAGAAATGCTGGGTAGCCAAATACCCCTGGATCAAGGATCCAAAGCAGTTGCCAGACAACAGGATGACGGCAGAAGCCATCATGAAGTCAACTGAAAAGCGACTGAAGAGGAAGCCAAAGCATGCCAACGTGTATCAAGCTCAGATCGAAGACATGGTACAGAGAGGAGCTGCGAGAAAGTTGACTGAAGAAGAGCTGAGAAGCTACAACGGTCCAGTCCACTACGTCAGCCATCATGAGGTCATCAAACCTGACTCCAAGTCGACGCCATGTCGCATTGTCTTCAACGCCTCAGCAAACTACAAGGGTCATGTTCTTAATGACTACTGGGCGAAGGGACCTGATCTGCTGAACAACCTTCTTGGAGTACTGCTCCGGTTTAGAGAGAGATACGTCGGAGTGACAGGGGACGTTAAGAAGATGTACCACTCGGTAAGCATCTCGACCCTTGATCAACATATGCACAGGTTCCTGTGGAGAGACCTGGAAGAGCGTCGCAGCGCTGACACCTATGTGATGACGGCAGTCTCGTTCGGCGACAAGCCAGCTGGAACGATCGCCACACTGGCGTTACGGAAGACTGCTGTGATGGGTCAGGATGAGTTCCCTGAGGCTGCGAAAGCCATCATCCGAAACACGTACATGGACGACGTACTCGTCAGCGTCGACTCAAGGAAAGAAGCTGTCAAGTTCACAAAAGAGGTAGAAGAGCTGCTGGACGCAGGAGGGTTCAAGATGAAGAGCTGGATCGTCACAGAGAATCCGAATCAAGGAGAGAGAGACGGCGCAAGCGAAGACGTCCAGAGGAAAAGACGAGACCGCCAGCAAGAAGAGCTGAGTGCAGACGCTAAGGCGGCGAAGTGTGCAAACGAAGAGCTTGAGAGGACAAACGAATCTGAAGCGAAGAGAAGTCAAGCCAAACAGGAAGAAACCCCAAAGAGTGGTCCACCGAGAAGCGAAGAGGGCACACATGTGAAAGGGGATGAAGAAGAGAAGGGGCCAAGTGAGAAAAGCCGCAGAAGAGAAGATGCAGTGAACCGAGGAAGTCCTGAAGAGAAGTCTGGGGAAGGGAAGTTCTTGAATTCAGATACTCAGGAACAAAAGGTCCTCGGAGTAAGATGGGACAAGGGACAAGACTGCTTCTGGTTCAAGGTTGGGCTGAACTTCTCGCCTAAGAGCAGAGGTGTTAAGATAGGTCCTCCCTTAACTCTGTTTCAGCTGCCTCAAGGTGTACCTAGCGTGCTGACGAAGAGGATGGTGCTCGGGCAGGTGAACAGCGTCTATGATCCGCTAGGACTGGCTTCACCGTTCCTGATCAAGATGAAGGTTCAGTTGAGAAACCTGTGGAGCGAAGCGAAGCATCTGGACTGGGACGACCCTCTCAGCGACAGCATGCGAGACGAATGGGTGAGCCTGTTCCGCGAGCTGTATGAGATGGAGAAGATCACCTTCCCAAGATCAGTGAAACCTGAAGGTGCTGTCGGAAACCCGTCTCTGATCATGTTCAGTGACGGATCCAACGATGCCTACGGTACCTGTGCCTACGCGCGTTGGGCACTCACGGACGACACCTTTGCCTGCAGGCTGATCTGTGCCAAGAGTAGAGTGGCACCCTTGAAGCGTCAGACAATCGTTCGGATCGAGCTGTGTGGAGCTGTGCTAGCTTCCAGGCTCGCCAAGTTCCTGCAGCAAGAGATGGAAGTCACATTTGAAACTGTGATGTTCCTGGTGGACTCAGAAATAGTGAGATCAATGATCCAAAAGGAATCGTATGGCTTCAACACCTTCACAGCGGTCAGGGTCGGAGAGATCCAAGAAAACACCGACCCCTCTAAATGGTTCTGGGTTGAAGGAAAGCAAAATGCTGCGGACTGCATCACGAGGGGAAGCAAGCCGAGTCAGCTCGGCCAACACAGCGTCTGGCAAGAAGGGCCGAAGTTTCTCCAGACACCGATACCGGAGTGGCCGTTGAAGCAGACGTCAGTCCAAGATCTGCCTGAGAGGAACGAAGTGATCCTGACCCTCGCGTGTGAGCGCCGAGACAGCCTGGCACAGCGAATCGACATCACTCGACATTCGAAGTACTCGAAACTCCTCAGAGTAACAGCAAGAGTGTTGAACATGTATAGCAAGGAACCAGCTATCACGTTCAGAAACGCTGCACGACTACCAGACTGTGCTGCGCTGGAAGCCGCCGAAGTCTTCTGGGTCAAAGAAGCGCAGACGACCATCATGGACGGCTTCAAGAACGGCAAGTTCAGACGCCTCCGCCCTCGGATACGTGAAGACGGGATCGTGACAGTAGGCGGTCGCATGCATCAGGAGGAAGCCACCTACAATCAACAGGAGCTGCCTCTTCTTCCTGCCAGCCACCGTCTGTCCCTGCTGTATGTACAGCATGTCCATAACCAAGGCCACCTGGGAGTCTCAGCAACGGCAAGTAAAGTACGAGAACGATTCTGGATCGTGAGCTTGACGCGGCTCACAAAGTCTGTGCGCTACAAGTGCGTCACATGCAAGAAACTCGACAAGCGAACGGAAGAGCAGATGATGGGATCGTTACCAGCTGAGAGACTGAAACCGGCGCCTGCTTGGACCTATACATCGCTCGACTACTTCGGTCCATTCTGGATCCGCGGTGAAGTAAACAAGCGCTCACGCGGAAAAGGCTACGGAGTCATCTTTAACTGCTTGCTGACAAGGGCGGTACATCTTGATTTGGCAGCAGACTACTCGACGGCAGGATTCATGCAAGTGTTCAGTCGTTTCACATCGCTGCGTGGATACCCCTCCGTCATGTACTCGGATCCCGGGTCACAACTGACAGCATCCAGCAAGGAGCTTCGCGCTGTCACACAAGGGATCGACCGAGATACTCTTCAGGCTCAGGGATCGAGTCACGGTCTGACATGGAAGTTCAGCGCTCCGGATGCCCCATGGCAAAACGGCTGCTCAGAGGCTCTGATCAAATCGGTGAAGCGAGCACTTCAGAGTGTCATCGGAGAGCAGGTGCTAACGTTCCCGGAGCTCCAGACCGTGCTCTGCGAGGTAGCGAACCTACTGAACGAGCGGCCAGTAGGACGACATCCAAAAGACATCGAGGACGGTACTTACCTCTGTCCGAACGATCTCCTGCTCGGGCGAGCCAGCGGCAGAGCGCCCTCCGGGCCCTGGTGTACTTCAGCTACATCGGCTCAGCGACTGGTCTTCGTCTGGAGACTGGTGGACGACTTCTGGAGAAAGTGGACGAGGGACTACTTTCCGTCCCTGCTGGTGTGTCCTAAGTGGCACACTGAGCGTCGTAATGTGTGTATAGGTGACATTGTTATGTTACAGAGTTCGAACGTACTGCGCGGCACCTGGCGTCTGGGTCGTGTGACTGCGGTGTTCCCCGGCCGAGACGGCCGGATAAGGACGGTGAACGTGCGGTGCGGCTCCAGTGATGGCAGCGGAGCGTCGCGCTCTGCCGGATGTGTGGAGCTGACTCGTCCAGTCCGAAAGCTCGTCGTACTGCTTCCGGTGGAAGAGAGCTGTGCTGCTGACTGAGTGTATCAGCGAACTGGTATGTAGAGAACCAGCGGGCGGCGGAGTGTTTCGCTCGCGAAAGTTACGTTTGATTAGTTGAGCGTCAAACACTGTGTGCGATTTAGATATTCGTTTTGGGCAGCGTTTTAGAGGCGCGATTGCGTCAGCTGGCCGACGCGTGGCAGGTATACTAAAACCTTGGTTGTTTTGTTCTAGAAAAGGTGAGCCACGCCCCGCGCTGAATGTGTGAAGATATAGAGGGTACGGCTGCTATAGTAATTTAAACCCACGGTCAGATGTGGTAATTTCATTTTTGTTGTGTTGGTTGAAAACTGTAGAAGCCGTCAGTCATGATTGCAAGCTGAATACATGGCCAGCGATACAGTACCTACATGAATGGTTAGCAGAAACATAGGTCATCGATAGATTCTTGAATCCCAGTCATCAAATCACACCACAAAGTTGCAGGTTTATAGGTTAGGGATACAATAATCAGCATATCTTTCATTGATATCCAGACACAATAAAAGCCAAAAGAGCTCTCAAACCAATAAGCCGTGACTCTGCCAACCCGTTTCCTACCTGATGGTACGATGTTTGAGGTGATGGGCTGGGACCCCTTTGGTCATTACTAGGTGTCATCAGTGACTGAGCAGGCAGGAACGCTGCCTGCAACCACAGGCCGGCCTCAACGCAACAGTGGGGACAGCGTGGAAGACACCGAGGTTGCAGGAGAGCCCAGCAGCCGGCGAGACACTGCGGTGACGGGAATGTGTGGAGGGTAGTCCACTAGTCAGTGTGGCACAGGGGAATATCTGGTGGGTAGCCCACTCGTCTGAGTAGCTGCACAGGAGAATATCTGGAAGGTGGCCCACCAGTCAGTGTAGCACAGGGGTGACGGGAATATCTAGAGGGCAGCCCACCAAGCCACCAGCCAGTAGTGCATAGGGGAGCGAAACAGTTTGTCTGGAAGAAAGCCCACTAGCCTGCCTGACAAGTGACAAAAGAAGATGGAGAGTTTTGTTCACATTTAAAATATATTGTGAAATAGTTTAAGAACAGTCTCAATGAAGCAGGGAAGTCAAGCAGAGAACAGAAGGATGCCCAGGAGGAAGAAGAATTTACTCCTTAGTATGGGAAGCCTCAGAGAAGGTAAAATACCTACAATGAAGCCAACGAAAATAACTCAATTTTTATTGTACAAGACAAAGATGTAGAATGACGAAAATTTCAAAAAATCGATAAAAACAACAACAAAAACTTGTCTTTTAGGGAGCACTTCCAATACCTGATGTAACTGATCTCAAAGGCAATAGGCATGCCCTGCTCCCCATAATTACATATAAGCTAAAGTTTTGGCCAAACCGCTCACGAAAGCATTAGGGTCACAAAGTACAGCTCATATTCGAAACACGAGCGACATGATGCAGAGACTAAAAGAAATAGACGTCTCTAACAATAAGCTGGCCAGTTTTGATGTGTCACCACGTCCCTGTAGATGGGGCTTTTTTATAAATTTATTCCGAACTTTTTGATTGGAAGGATTCACAAGGACAGAGCCCCTGCTAAGCGAAGCTTGTTGCAGTGACCCTGCCCTCTACACTCCGATCGCGCAATTCCGGTTCTATGGCAGAATTTAGAGTCCAAAGTTTAACGTGCGCACATAGCCGCGCACGGCCAGTCCCCTCAATGACTTCGCCTGGCTACGGCCTGCCACCAACCGCAACCATACCTGTCAGGAGACCCATAACCGTCAAGCGCCTGTCGCGCTTCGAACCCGGACTGTTGTAACCGGGAACGCGTGCTCTCACCACGCGGAGTCCAACGCTCTACCGACTGAGCTACGGGACCGGCTCTTACGCCATCAAAAGACAAAAAGTGCTAAATGCCACAAATGACAGCAGACAGCATCCAGCCATTACCAAAAGATCAGTATATGCAGATGGTGACATTATACATGCAGTTTAAATGTTCCAAATTTAACAGATCAGAGTATGTTTGGCACAATGGATTAGCCATGGAATCACCGCTGAGCTCCATTGGCACATACCTTTACATATGATAGACTTTGAATGGTCAGGATTTTAAGATATAATCGGCCCTGGTTCAGAATGGATGCATTATGTAGATGCATCATGTACAATATAATAAAAATACAAGCTGGATACATTTTTTACCCTATTTTGTTATGATCCAAAAAAATGGTGACTCCATTGACAATGATGGGTTAAACCATTATTATAAACAAAATCCAAGATACCTACAGCTGAACCTAAGTTGTGACAGTTAGAAAATCCGACAAACATTTTTTCTTAATACTTAAACAAACCTTACTTTCCTGCTGCTGCAGAACATCTTTAAATCGTTTATATCTTCAAAGCCAGCCCATAGGCGGCGGAACGATTTGAGACAAGGGGGGGGGGCACCACCTCAAGGAGCCAAACCTAGGGTATCCCCAAATCCTGTTTTCTCATCGGATTTAGGCCACTTATTTTTCGTCACAGCCCTGACACGATTTTTTTATTTTTTTTTTTACTTCACGAAAATGGCAGTTCACCCCCATATGTGTGCTTAACTTTAAGCTGATCCTCAAGTACCTATGTGTTTGTCTCATCCTTATTGTCGTTGATAAATTCCATTTATCCTACATGTATCAAATTCCCAAGAAGCCATCGCAGTACTAATCAGTGGCGAATCCCAGGGGGGAGGTCACATGGGTCATGACTTAGGGCCTGGGGTCACCACATGCCTGCCAGGAGCACCACAGACCTGACAGCCGACAGAGGCACCACAGGCCCGCCAGGGGTACCACAGGCCTAGCAGGGGCACCACGGGCCTGTCAATGGCACCACAGGCCTGTCAGGAGCACCATCGGCCTAGCAAAAGCACTACAGGTCTTCCAGGGGCACCACAGACCTGCCAGGGGCACCAGAGGCCTACCAGGGGCACTATCGGCTTTGCAGGGGAACCACCGGCCTCGCAAGGGCACCATGGGCCTGTCAAGGGCACCACAAGCCTGTCGGCACTTTAGGATTGTCAGGGGCACCACAAACCTGTCAAGGGCACCTGCGTTCTAACAGAGGCACCACAGGCTTAGCAAGGACACCACAGGCCTGTCAGGGGCACCACGGGCCTGTCAGGGCCCATGGCCACCTAAGTCATGTCAGGGCCCACGGTAGGCCTGTCAGGGGGCAGAGTAGGTAGGTACCACAGTCTTTCCAGGGGCAACAGCGGCCTAGCAGGGGCACCAGTCATCACATGCCTAACCAAAAATAAAGAACAGAAACTGAAAATAGGGCACCACCAAAATTAAGTGGCCGAAATCCGTTGAGGTTTTAATTTTGGGTATAGGTAGGGGCACCACTTCGATTCATGACCCTCCCCTTGGAGTTTTCCCGAATCCGCCCCTGGTACTAATACATCAAATTTAAGGGGGGCACCTTGCTATTGGTGCCCCCCTTGCAGAAATCAAGGGGGGGCACGGTGCCCCGGTGCCCCCCCCCCATTCCGCCGCCTATGAGCCAGCCATTTATTAGCAAATCGGTGCTCTTTTTGACACTATACAGCAGTCTGGCAAACCTAGGAAAGAATGGAGTTAAAGCGCCTGAATCACTTAGCATGTGTGCTGATCACTTGAAATGTATGGTTTGGTGAAATTTGTGTGAAAAGCTGTGAGAAAAACCCATAGAAAACATGCTCTCATGATATAAATGCACATGCATCAATAGTCGCTGCACTTTAAATCCGTTCTTTCTCAGGTTTGCCAGACTATAGAAAATGAGTTGGGATTTCTAGTAACATCAGTGGTGGAACAATATATGTTGAGTGTTGTCAATTATCTTCAAATGAAGTTAGTCATTTTTATGCTGTAAAGAATAAAGTACCCCTTGTGTTCATCAGACATCACTCAGGATCTGCCTCAGGTTGATGGGGGAGTGACTGTACCTTCTATAGATGGCCTTGACTTGGTCTAGTTCTGGTAGAGGTGTATTAGCAGATATTCAGATGTCAAGAAATTGCTTTGCTTTTCCTGAAAGCATCTAAAGGAGCATTGAAAAGACTTGAGGTTCAATGACTGTTAAGTGTTATGAGTATATGGCTGACAGCCATCTGACACAACTAATATGTAGGTACCTACTACCTATCAGCTTATAAGCTTTGTGCAGACAAGGGTTTCTGCAAATTGCAATGTATGTTCTAGAATTTGTAGTGCAATTCTTGAGGATTGCAATATTAGCGAAGAAAACAGTTAATGTGAAGATGAAGTACGGAGAAGATAAAAACAATCTAACCTGACCTAACCTTACCTACTGACCTAGAACACTGAACCTACCAAACTCAACCTACAACCTACAAACCTAACAAACTATCAGCCTAAAACCTACCACCTACAACCTACCAACCTACCAACATACCAACCATGCTTCATCTACACATATATCAAGAAAACTTCCTCTAATAAATACAATAGATAGAACATGCATTGAGACACTTCAACAAGTGTCACACCATTATGTGGTGATCATGCTTTAAGCATTGAAAGGAATCCAACCCGAGCCCAGATTTGCATTCAGTTTTTGGCATTAGTAGAGCAGACGTCACACGAAGGTTTTCCAGCCAAGCAGAGGCGCTGTAGTCTTAATGTTGTATGTTGTAGGTTTGTAGGTTGTAGGTAAGGTTGGGTCAGGTTAGATTAGGTTTGATTTGGTTTGGTTCGAAAGAAGCGTCTCCGGGTATATCTCCTTGGTTGGAAAACCTTCATGAGAATGTGCTCTACTAATACCCACTTTTGTTTGTTGCTGTCCCACATTATGTAAGAGAAACTTAAATATGAATAATTTGGTCATTAAATTTGAGCAGCTTAATAGATGTACATGTTACAGTAAAAACAAATACAATTTATTACTAACACCTAACCAATAACCTCAAATTTACCTACCAAGGACTTAGATCAAGAGAGTGATTAAGGTGCCCAATGGCCATTACACAATAAATTGGTCCCTACCTTGCGCGATCCGTCTTTCCTTTCAGTCTTCATGTCAGTGAGCACAATTTCTTTCCTTTTCAAACAAATTGAAACAGAAATACTATAAAAAAAAATATATTTCCAACGCGCTCCCTTGTCCCACAAACTACAAGCACCACAACAACTGGCAAATAAGCGCCAGAACTGTCTTTTTCTATTTCGATGACGTCAAACGTCCAATAGGCCTGAGGGCTGTTCGGGTCCCTGCAGCATAGATCTGTGCTGCGTGCGTCATACTTGGGTGACGTCAACCGCCTGGCTCCGCCCACTCTCCGCCGGCACGCCGCGGCCGAGCGTCGCTGCAGCCTATGGGCCTGTTCCAGCGCCTCCAGAAGAAATTCTTGACTGGAGGCTCTACCAGAGGTTTTACTGGAGGCGCTGGAACGCAATCTGGAGATTTCTGGAGATTGGCGTCATAGATACCAAAAGAATGACGATTGTTCTCTCTTGAAACGCAAAATTTGTTTTCAATTTTTAGTTAAAAAGATAAATAAAATTATAGCAATGTAATTTTCTTTACATTCAAGTTGTAAAATAATCAGTCAAATGTCCTTTGTTTACATTCGTGATTGTCACATGTGCACCATAATTTAGACCAGAGCCTCCAGAGAATTTGGACCTCTCAACTCTCTGGAGGCTACTGGAGGTTCTGGAGCTTTGGCGAGAGCTTTCTGGAGCTTTCTGGAGGCGCTGGAACGCTCTCTGGAGGATTCTAGAGCTTTCTGGAGCTTTCTGGAGGTTTCTGGAGGCGGCTGGAACAGGCCCTATTTCAAACGCGGCGAACCGTTGCGCGGGTGGACTGGTGATTGTCGCTCAAATAACGTTTAAATTGCGTTCAAATGTGGTTAATAGCAATGTGCCACCGAAAAGAGTGATAATTATACCCAAAAAACAACATACAAACCGCTTACAATAAGAAATATCGGACGGTAAACTTTAATCCGCGCCACTTTCGCCTCCTGCAGCACCGAATTTCGTGCTGCAGGAAAACGAAGCATGCTTCAGTAGGTGACGTCACACAGCCGGTGACGCAGTGGTGTGGGCGGGACTAACGGGCGACGAAGTCCTCACTGCGCATGCGTGCTGCAGCATATTTCATTTTGGCTGCGCAGCCGAACAGCCCTCAGCACTAATCGACCGCTTGCAACGCGTATTTGGAAATTCCGGCCTCGACGAGCGTCTGTGGTAGAAAACCACCACTTTGGTAGGGGAAACTACTGCTGTCTGCTACCATTTGTACTGCATGTGTCGCTATAGTTGCAAGTTGCGACATCTATGCAGGCACGTATCCAGGATTTCGCTCAGGGAGGGGCGACAGCCGAGAAGAGCCCGGAGGTTAGCTCAAAGGGGCCCCACGGCCACTGCTTATCCTGGTGTGAAAAAAATCGAGAATGTCGAAAGAACGGTAATTTTACGATAAAATTCGGCAGGGGCGTCGACGCGTAAGGAAAACTGGTCCGACTTTTTCTCGGGGGGCCCCCACCGGTGGGGGCCCCCAGGGGCCCCCGTGGCCGCAGCAGGGCCCCCGAGAGCCCCAACAGGGGCCCCCCGCGGCCGCAGAAGGGGACCCCGCGGGCCGCAGCAGGGCCCCGCGGTGTCTAGCAGGGCCCCAGAGGCGCAGCAGGGCCCCCGCGGTCTCTAGCAGGGCCCCCCGAGCCGCAGTAGGGCCCCCGCGGTCTGCAGCAGGGGCCCCCGCGAGCCACAGCAGGGCACCGCCTAGTCGAAAAAGTGGTCCGACTAGTCGGAAAAGTCGGACCGGTGTCGACGCCCCTGAAATTCGGCATATTGTAAATGATAATGCATTGTCTTGCGTTAGTCGACCTTGATAAAATGTTTTCAGTTAATTTCAGTTGAAGATCGTTTTTGCAATTCACTTCCATTGAAATTTGTTAACCCGCGCCGTGCTTGTGGAGCCTTTTCACGCCCCCCCCCCCCTCAGGTTCCGAGACCATGTTTGGCCGGAATCGCGATTCCGCGTACGAGTATGTCGGCTCGCATTAGCCGCGCGTTTGCAAGTTTTCCGTGGTTTCAAACGTTCAAACATGTGATTTGATGTTGTTTCCCATGCATTAGGGTGGGTGTCAAGGTCACCTGGGTCAGGTCAGGTCATTGACCTTTGGTGACCTCGGGTGACCTCGGTTCACTTTTTCGAGTTTTACATATTTCTAGGCTAGTTTTTGGAGCTGAATTCGAATTTAGCAACCATTTGAACATTTACGAAGTAGTTTTGGTGACTTCGTAACATGTTACGAAGCTGTCAGAGGTGGTTGACACGTACTACGAATACCCGTCACGACGCCTACAGGTTACCTGACCTGACCTGACCCGACCTGGTCTAAGGGCTTAAAGACATCATCTGTGATCAAAACTAACACGATATTCGTGATCAGCACCCCGAAAAACCCCTTAACAGCCACACTTTACGTTTTTCTAACCAGTGGCGAATCCAGGGGGGGGGGGGCAAAATGGGCATTTGCCCCTCCCAAGCGGCATAATTTTAACATTACGCCCAGGGGGTTACGGTTCTATGCTGCCACATAGGGAGGGCTCAGTAGACAGATGACGTCACGGGGTGTCAAGGTTTTGTCGATTTTTAAGACTTTGCTGTGCAGTAAATTATCTTTTTTAGCCTCTAAGGGAGCCTAAAGGTTAACATCAAACTGCCTTAGAGTATAGAATCTTCGGAAGCTTAATATTGGCGAAGGTTGGTAGACACCCGCTGACGTCATCTGTCAAGGTCACCGATGTAAACAAACTGCTAACCATTCTACCTCCTATATACGGCCTTGATTACGCCTATGGACGAGGCATGGAAAGAATCGATAAATTGTTATGGTTTGCCTCCCCCCCCCCAAAAAAAGTCTGAGCTGGATCCGCCTCTGTTTCTAACAGGTCCCGATTTTTCCGACTTTGGGTCATTGACCTGACCTGGAAGGTCAACCAATGACCTAGGACCTTAAAATTGGGTATCATTGGCTTCCTCTCGTCACGGGCAACACGCTCGTTTTTTCTGCGAAGCTCTAGCTCGATCAGGGGCCAAACGGCAAGGGGGGGGGGGGTTCAACCGACCCCCCCTACACATTAGAAGCTGGCAAACGCCGCACACATGCGAGGGTTTAACTGGTAACGGCCTGCCACCAACCGCAACCATACCAGTCAGGAGGGCTCATAAACATCCAGTCGGTCCCGGAAGTTGAGGTTAAAACTTAAAATTGTCAGGCCCAGGCCGCCAGCTCCGTCCAACTGACCTCACCTCGAAAAGAAAAATTTAAAATGTTCGGCATAGCTACACCGACTGAACGATCGCATTGAAACGTTCAGCGGTTGATATGAATAATGTTAAAAATTGGTATACATATCACATTATTTCTTAAGTGGTTAAGCATTCTCAGGTACTTGGTATTCCTCACTTATCACTCATGGGGTCACTGGCGGGCTCCTCATACATAGCGACACATGCATGGTAGCAGACAGCAGTAGTTTCCCCTAACAAAGTGGTGGTTTTCTACCACAGATGCTCGTCGAGGTCGGAATTTCCAAATACGCGCTTGCAACCATTCTATAACTCTGTAGTTCTACAGTCTACTAGCAAGGCCATATTGTATTGTATTGTATTGTATTGTATTGTATTGTATTGAACAATCATGAGCGATCCACATTCTGAAAGTGCGTGGCGATTACTGCTCATATTGATATATACCGTTTTTATTTCTATGTATATACGTAGGATAGACCACCGATCGGAACAAACGAGGCACCATTCGGATCAAAGTAGGTACCTTATGGGCTTATACGATTTTTTTCAGCTGCTTCGAACATGGTGACCTCAGGTGACCTCAAAAGGTGAACTTGGCGCTTTCGCTTATTAAGCCATTATATAGGCTTATTGTTTGTGACTGACGTGACTGATCAAGGTCAGGTCAAAGGTCGACGAGCATAATTCCGAATGACGAGTGTATACTCTCGGTGGATCTCAAAGCAAACGACAAGTTAGTATCTATGATCGCACGGGATCCTGCGTAGAAAATGTATACGCGATTTAAGATTCCAAGGGATCTAACGATAAATCAAGAACAGGGATCTATGATCCGAGGGGATCTAACCACATCTAACCAATGAAACCATGTTAACAGTTTCCAGTTCCATGTCAATAAGTGTCGCAACACTGTGTGCTATAGTGTTATGTGTGATGATATAAGATCTATGCATGAGCACCTCTGCGCTTTGGAATAAGTGTTCGTTGAAGATTTATGTGTTGACAACAATTGAGTAAGTATTTATGCATAATATCTAATCGGATCTCATAGGATGAGGAGAGGGTAACCATACAAGTAATAGCTTCTCTATTAAACTGTTTTTGCGCCCAAGCCTGCTATTTTCGAAACCTTTAAAGCCACAACTCATGTGCACTGCGATTCTGGAGTCGCTGGTGTCTTGCGTACACCTTAGTTTTAACTGAGTTCAAATGGCATAAGACTTCACAAAACTCATATTCCAATGCTCATATGTCGTGTTTTTACTCTGACTGCTTATCCATGTTCGGTGTTACACTAGTTTTGATTAAGTAGTGTCATCAGTTGAGTTGTAATGTGACAATTATTTCATAAATATGCAAGATATTATAAGTATATTATACCCGAGTGCAGTATATTATTATATACATTACCCTTGAAAAAGTTATAATAAACGAAACGTCGGGTAATTTTTGTTGTAATATCTTGCATATTTATGAAATAGCGTCATCAGTCATCTTTATTTGCGTTGCCTTCCGTTCATTTTGTTGCATTCAAAGGTTTTGTCGATTCTACTCGAGTTCGTGACCGAGAAATATTTGAAGTCTGGAACCATGCGAATATAGAGATGCCGCGAGCTTTTTCTGGATCGACAACAGCGTCGACTATGCATCTAAACTGGTTTATGGACGAGGCTACCATGAGAAGCAATAGCATCCTTGCATCAGAGTGGTCGGGGAGGAGCCACTGAAAATGTTTATCGCTCAGTCTGTCGGTCACGGGACCGGGCCGCGTCACCGGATGTGGCGCCTCTAACAGAGGTCAGCAGCACCGAGCTCTGAAGACACCCTGCCAGCTCCGAGCCGACAGTCCGAGGGCGGCAGACGAGGACGGTGGATCACATGCTGTCTCAGTGTCCGTGTCACCATGTCGGCCCTCAGCAGCCGGCTGGCGACGCTCCTGACTTTGGCCGTGCTCATCGTGACGGCCGGCTGTTACGATGGCAAGTCCATCCCCCTGGATGAATACGTACAGCAAGTGGTGCGTGATGAACTGCAGTCCATCGTCAGCACGCTGCAGTCAGGAACGGAACGTCTGGAGAACAGGCTGGAGTCTAGGATGGAGGCTCTGGAGCGCAGAATGGAGGAGCTGACCGGCCGACTGGACAGCCAGCAGACTCAGCCGGACGAGTCACAGACGTCTCAACTGGCTACAAGACTCAACAGCCAGCAATCGCAACTGAGCGAGCTCAACACCCAGCTCAACGAACAAAAAACGACTCAGAGTGAGGTTTCAGTCAGAATGGATAACCTGACCTCCCAGGTTGACATTCTAGGATCCAAGCTGGTCGGAGCCATCAACAACACATCATCCCAACAGGAGCGTATTGATGACCTAGCTGCTAAGGTAAAACAGCTGACCCCTCCCCGTGACTGCAGCGGTCTGCCTGTCAACTCCCCGTCTGGTGTCTACCTCCTTCGGCCCAGTGGTAACAACAAACAACCATCCGTCCAGTCGTACTGTGATATGGACGCTGCCGGAGGGAACTGGACGGTGATCCAACGACGAGACGATATCAAGCCCCACCAGGACTTCTACCTGGGATGGAAAGACTACAAGGAGGGCTTTGGTAAAGTTACCAAAGAGTTCTGGTGGGGCTTGGAACACGTTTATCAGCTAACGTCATCGGGCCGACAGTACGAACTCCGCGTTGATCTGGAGGCGTTTGACGGTAATCGAGTATACGTGGTATACCAAGGGTTCAGCGTCTCCTCTGAGCTGGATGGGTACAGACTGAGCTGTACCAACTACTCGGGACCTGCCGGGGATGGTCTGAAGTACAGCGTCAATGAGAAGTTCTCTACCCGTGACCGTGACCAGGACAGCAACGCTAACTATCACTGTGCACAGCTCTATCAGGGGGCCTGGTGGTACGGCAGGTGCGGGGACAGCAACCTGAACGGACGGCACCGGGACGGCGTTATTAGGGACTCCACTGGAATATGGTGGTGGGACTGGAGGGGATATGAGTCACTGAAAAAGGTCGACATGAAAATCAGACCAACGTACTAATCTACACACTGTGGTGTGTAGATACCCCGGTGACATGTGTACCGAGCCGCTGTCACGGTATTTAGTCGAACACTAACACTGTAGTAGGCCTGAGGGTTAGAGTGTGAAGTTCTTACTTACTCATGTGACGTTGTACGAGGGTGCAATTCGGCGCTTTTCTGCGGATGAGAAGTATTATGTGCGATTATCTATAGGACTCAATACAAGTGTCCGTCGGTCTCTCTCCCTCCCTCCCTCCCTCTCTCTCTCTCTCTCTCTCTCTCTCTCTCTCTCTCTCTCTCTCTCCCTCTCTCTCTCTCTCTCTCTCTCTCTCTCTCTCTCTTCCTCTCCCTCTCCCTCTCCCTCTCTCTCTCCATCTCTCTCCCTCCCCCTCCATACCTGCCTCTGTTGATCCTGCTCCAGTTGAGACATCTCTGCCTCGGCCCTCTCGGCCATTTTCTGTCGCAGCTGCAGCTCCGTGTCGGCGTCCGCCTCCAGCGATTTCAGGTGGTTGTCGTTCTTTTCCAGAGCAGACACGTCGGCACGCAGCTGCCGCTCTGGGGGCGTCACGCAGAGGGAGGGGGCGATCAGCGACGAGCGGGGGATACTCTGTGCGACATGTCTGGAGTCAATAAGGCAGACCGGTACAGAGAAAAATGGTCATAATACGTCCCAGGGACGCGGGTAGTGACGAGGAGGGAATATATTACGGTGATTTTGAGCACAGGTGTGACGAATCAGAACACAGTAGCTTGTATGCTTGTTGGGGTCTACATATCATGTATATTCAGCAAGTCGCAATGCATTTTTGCACCGATTGTAACAAGTCTAATAAGCTATGCTACGCTACGAAATATAACATGTATAATTACGAGCGAGCGAGCGCAGCGAGCGAAGTGAGTCTTTTCAATATAACGGAAAAATCCCAGTATGAGCGGCCCGGCCCGGCCTGTAACGCTTTTGAGAGGATTATATCTCCGCAACCGCTGGACCGATTGGCCTGCGGTCTTTTTTTGCTGGATGGCCCCATCCCTTCTACCCCGTAATTGACTACTTTTGATATATCTCAGTGACCGTCGTGGCACGTGCCACGTGAAAAGTCAAGGGTGTTCAAGCTGTTTTGCAAAAGTAGTGATTTTGAGAGGCTCATATCTCAGCAGCCGCTTGGGCGACTGACTTGCGGTAATTTTTGTAGGGTAGCAGCATCCCTTCTTCCAAAAATAGGATACTCTCGATGCATGTGGGTCACCCCCAGTGCACGTGCAAAATACAACAATAAGAGGTGTCAAATTTGTTCCCATTTTAAAAAACTCGGTAATTACTGGGGCGATTTCGCTGAAACTTGGCATACAGGTAGGCACCCACCAGGCAATGCATTCCCATGTGTTGCGGTTAAGGTGCTACTGCACGTGCGCACGTGCAGGGGGCGCTTCCAGATCTCGAGAACGGCTGGGCCGATTGCGCCTGATTCGGTACACGGTTTGGGACCAGTTAGTAGGGTGCCGTGCAAAAGTCAGTTTGGACCCCGTTTGCACGTGCGCACGTGCAGAATGCCGCTTCCAGATCTCAGGAACGGCTGGGCCGATTGCGTTCAAATTTGGTACACCGCGAGCGACCGGTTAGGAGGGTGCTTTGCGCAAGCCCGTTGGAAGTACCCTCTCGCCCTTCCGCACGTGCAGCCTGCAGGGCTCACTATCTCGCTCGCTCGTTCTTCGCCCAAAAGGCGTTTTACTGGTAAATTATAATAAAGAAAACAGCATGCAACCGAAGTGTTTGAGATGAAAAGGATCGATTCATTTCGAGCATCTATTCGTCTCCATCGCTCTAATTGTCATTCTCCCTCCCTTCCTCTCTGACCCTCCCCTCCCTCCCTCTCTCCCTGCCTCTCACCCATCTCCCTGTCGGCCTCCAGACGATCGCCAATCTCGCCATGTCTCTGTCGGACGGCGGTGAGCGTCTGTTCGGCAGCTGCCCGCGCCTCGGCGGCCTCCGAGAGCCGCTGCTGCAGCTGCAGCTGCTGCTCCTGCTGTCTGGCCAGCTGCTGCTGCCACTCGTACAGCTGCACGCCGCACGACTCGCCCTGTTTGGTGCGGGACCGCTGCTCCTTCCGCTGTCAGCGGGGGAGGGGGAGTTGTTGGGGGGGGGGGGGGTGAGGATTGGCCGTGTCCACTCGCCAGTATCGGGGCTGCACGGAAGAGAAATAGTCTTCTGGTCACCGAACACGACTAGTAACAGCTCCGGCAGTTCAGCGTCCCGTTCAGCCACAAAGTAGCAGATCTCCAGTCCACCCTACCAGTACAAAGAAGCCACTTTTACCCACTGGATCCAGGACTCTCTGGTATAGGACTCAATACACATGTCCGTCGGTCTCTCTCTCTCTCTCTCTCTCTCTCTCTCTCTCTCTCTCTCTCTCTCTCTCTCTCTCTCTCTCTCCTCTCTCTCTCTCTCTCTCTCCCTCTCTCTCTCTCTCTCTCTCTCTCTCTCTCTCTCTCTCTCTCTCACTCTCTCTCCCTTCCTCCCTCGTTTGTCCGTCCGGATTTAATAAATGAATGTTTTGTATTATTTTGATTGCGTACCATGTCACGTCTAACTATTTCGTCTATGACGATGGAGCTAATTATCTTCTTCTGACTCTGATGTTAAGAGCTAAAGATGCTCATTTGGAAACCACGATGTGCAATACGTAGGTACCTACATATACATCCATCCATCCATCCATCCATCCATCCATCCATCCATCCATTCATCAATAGTCGTCAGCACTACCAGGTCACCACTAGTGCTCTTACCATCCTCCTTCGGTCACCCGGCTCTCACAGAGATGCTCCAAGGCCGGAACAACACCTTATCGAGTGTTGTAAATCGGAATTGACGACACTGACTTAGTTCTGTGAATGACACGTAAATGAAAATTGGCTTTGACATATTGCGGTCAACCGTAGGTATAAAATCTCCTGTATATATCCTAAATCCTATAGAAAGAAAATATCTACCTCGCGTAGGTACATACACCTTCGCATACAACAGAATCATGACAGGAGCTACCAAATACCGTCTAAAGGAAGGTTCTGCAGTTCATGAGGTTTGCACCAGACTCCGGCTGGGGCCGGGACAGTGCAGATAGAGCGTCCGGCCGCTGGCGCCGGGACCGCCAAGGTGACCCCTGTCCGTCTGAACCAACAAACGCCCTTCCTGCGGCCCGATGCTGCGAGACGTCAGCACAGGTTTGGTGTCAAAGTAAGCACGGCCACAACTTTGTTGGCTTGATTTGGTGGGCAAGCCCGTTCGGTTCCAGATCATTCAGGGGAGAGGGGACGGGGAGACATTGGGCTGGCGGACCACCGACGGTGCGTCGCAGTGGCGGGGACCACCCGGTGGGACGCCAGTGTCCCGGTGGGACAGACCACCCACCCACTCAAACGGACAGTCCGGGGGGTCGTATACCCCTAGTGGAGTACCCGAAACGGCTGGACATCTAGTGGCGTGGCCGTGCACACAAACAGTGTAACTTGTGAACAAGAAAGATGGTCAAGTGCTGACGATAGGGAGGGTTGGTACAGTCGTGTACAGGTTGATGGTCCCCTACTCTTTATCCAACGGGTTCCTATGGCTCAGCATTGGCAGCAGCCGCCTGGTACCGGTAGGCTGTGCCGCATGACCCGAGAGTGAAGCGGCACAGTCTACCCACGCCGTTTGACATCGGCTCGGGTCGCCGGGTGGAGCGCTTTGTAGACCAGCTGTCGCGTCAGACCAGCGCGGGGGGAGGGGCTCGTCTCAGTGGTTGGCGTGGGCTGGCGAGTGGTGTGGGGCGTGTTGGTGGACCATGGGGGCTGGGCGGGTGTGTGTGGTCACTTGCTGCATTGCACATTTTGCGTCAATTGCATTCCTGTTTTTGCTAAGCACAATGCACGGAAGACCCAGCAATATTCCTAATTTACTTGTGCATTGTGCGAAACGTGATTTGGCACGGTATCGAGGCAACCATAGGTCTTGTGCTACATATATGCATGATATTTAGGCAATACGCTTATGAAAATGGTAGATTGATCGGATTGATCCTGGATGTCAATTCGTATGCTAAATGTCGACATGTATTAAATGAACGAATGAATCAATCAATCAATCGACAATCGACATGTAGATATAAAACCGTATAAATGGCTCGCAACCACTAAAATCAAACCAGATCCTAACTCGGAAAAGCAGCCGGAGCCCCGATGAGGCTCGAACCGGGACTCCACGTTGAAAGTTTTGCCAATGATCCATCATCATTCCACCAAGCTAGAGCGACCGGCACCCGAAACCACAAAAACATTCATTGACTTTGCTGCCGACCTCCCGGCGCCGCCGCCCGCCCGGCCAGACTTTGCCCCGGCCGTGGCCATCATCCGGTGTAGCTCAGCGTAGGAATGCTAGACTGTCAAACTGGCCGGTAGTGAGAGGCCCGGTTCGAGACGCTTCGCGTGCTGGATGTTTATTTCTGTGTCCGAGGCTATGCGATTAGTCCACTTTTCAGAAAGATTATTTGGTGACGGGTCTGTTTTCTTTCTTTGCTGCAATTCATGAGGAGACCGTATGGACCCTTACCTGTCCTTCCGCACCTCACTTGGGAGATGGGTGTTTGAACACCCCTGGGTTTTGTGAATATATCTAAAGCGAATTTTTGGAGGGTGGATTACGATCGATTCTATGCGACAAGTGACCACACACACCCAGCCCCAGGTCCGCTCACTCCCTCCCCACATCACCCCCGCCCCACACCACACTCCAGCCCGCCTCATCCACCGAGCCGAGCCAAATAGACAGGCCTCACCCTTACCCCCCCCCCCCCTCCCCCCAGCCGGTGTAACGCAGCGTCCGGTCAAATCGCTATACCAGGCGACCCGAGCCGGTGTCATACAGTGTGGGTAGGCTGTGCCGCTTCACTCTCGGGTCATGCGGCACAGCCTACCGGTACCAGGCGGCTGCTGCCAATGCTGAGCCATAGGAACCCGGTGGATAAAGAGTAGCGGACCATCAACCTGTACACGACTGTACTTGGTACCTGGTATGAAACAGAGATAACGCCATTGGAGTCTTTTCCACATTTTATAACCCATCTGATCTGCTTCCCAGGATCAATACTATTGACTGAAGGGTGGGGTGGGGGGGGGGGGGGAGGTTAACGCTCCCAGATTACCTCCGAAATTTGCATCAGGGGCGCGGAAACTACTTTCCGACTGGGGGGGGGGGGCATACCATAATAGAGATTAACCTAGGGTACCCCCAAATCTAGTTTTCTCACCGGTTTTAGGCCACTTATTTTTCACCCCTCGGCTTTTTCAACAAAAAAGAAAACATTTGCAAAAAAAGTGTGGTATTCCGTCTCAAAGCTGTGGGGGCACCGCCCCCACGGCCCCAGAGTTGGGGGGGGGGGCAAGCTGCCCCCACTGCCCCCCCCCGGCTCCCGCGCCTATGATTTGCATTGTAGCGAGCCGAACGAGGCGAGTCGGAAAAATCTGATCAACACGCATCAAAACCAATACTAAAATGCGGAATTGGAGTTCACGTGACTGATCAAGGTCAGGTCAAAGGTCGACGAGCATAAATCCGAGTGACGAGTGTATACTCTCAGTGGATCTCAAAGCAAAGTTAGTATCTATGATCCCACGGGATCCCGCGTAGAAAATATATAGGCACGCGATTTAAGATTCCAAGGGATCTGACGACAAATCAAGAACAGGGATCTATGATCCGAGGGGATCTAACCACATCTAACCAATGAAACCATGTTTACAGTTTCCAGTTCCATGTCAATAAGTGTCGCAACACTGTGTGCTAGTGTTATGTGTGATGACATAAGATCTATGCATGAGCACCTCTGCACTTTGGAACAAGTGTTCGTTGAAGATTTATGTGTTGACAAAAATTGAGTAAGTATCTATGCATGATATCTAATCGGATCTCATAGGATGAGGAGAGGGTAGCCATACAAATAATAGCTTCTCTATTAAACTGTTCTTGCGCCCAATCCTGCGTTTTTCGAAACCTTTAGAAACCACAACTAATTTGCACTGCAATTGTGGAGTCGCACATTGTGGTGTCTTGCGTACCATAGAGATCTTATATACATAGAGATGACATGCACTTAAAATCGTGGCGATTCAGTGGGTCTTTTTAACCCGGCGGCCGCTGGGCCTCCGCGCCACCCGCCGGCCGCTGGGGGGGGGGGCATAAAGTTGCCCCCCCCTTTACTTCTGCGACGATATCGTCGCAACGCGTGGAGATAGAGAAGCGAAACTTTGCACACATCTTCCTGAATACCTAGCCGAGGTTGTGTCCAAATTTGGTGTCGATCCCATTTGAAATGACGTCACAGTGACGTCATAAGTGAAATTATAGATTTGCGACTCTCATATTCCTCACGATACATCACATATATGGGACCGAATATAAAGGGCCGATTATTGGTCAGAAACGAGATGGAAGTGTAGTAACATGTTTTAGGATGACAGCAGGTGCTGTCTAGTTCATTTACAGTCGAGTTTCATGCTCAGCGTCATCAGAAACGGTCCATATCGGAAAATGACAAAACTTTATGACGTCACTGTGACGTCATCTTAGGTGCTACAACCACTAAACTTTCCTCAAACATTGCCTAGGTATTCATTTGAAGCTATGCCAAGTTTCACGTTCATAGCTCATCAAGTTTCGGAGATATTTCACAAAACGTAAAGGGGGGGCAACTTTATGCCCCCCCCCCCCCCAGCGGCTCATGGGTTAAGCAACTTATTTTCAGCCAGTATTGTGCCAATATGGCTGAGGCATTGTTAGTCTGAAGAAATCATTACGGAGCGAGCGAAGCGAGCGTAGTCTTTCGTAGATTTAGATTTAGTAGATTTAGTAGTCTTTCGTAGATATTTCATACTCGGAAATTTCTGAGTATGAGCGGCCGGCCGGCCGTGGTTACGCTTTTGCGAGGCTTATATCTCAGCAATCACTTGACCGATTTACATGCAATAATTTTCGGACGGTAGCTTCATTCCTTCTACCAAGTATTGGACTATTCTCGATGCATGTGGGTGACCGCTTATGCACGTGGCACGTGCAAAACGAAGAGGTGTCAGTTTTGTAATTGTTGCAATATCTTGGTAACTACATACTTGGCCGATTGCGCTGAAACATGGTATGTAGGTAGGCACCCACTAGGCAATGCATATCCATGTGCCACAGTTGGGGTGCTGCTGCACGTGCGCACGTGCAGGGGTCAATTCCAGATCTCGAGAACGGCTGAACCGATTGTGCTGAAATTTGGTACATGGTTAGGAACCAGTTAGTAGGGTGCCGTGAAAAGTCGGTTGGGACCCACTTCGCACGTGCGCACGTGCAGGGTGCCGCTTCCAGATCTCGAGAACGGCTAGGCCGATTGCGCTCAAATTTGGCACATCGCTAGGGAACGGTTAGTAGGGTGCAGTGCACAAGCCCGTTGGAAGTACCCTGTCGCCCTTCCGCACGTGCAGGGCTCACTATCTCGCTCGCTCGTTCTTCGCCCAAAAGGCGTTTTACTGGTATGTATATATGTTGCTATTAGAGGTCACTGATAATACCATGTCAGGTCACAGGTCAGGTCACCAAGGGTCAGCACATGAACCCAACTTTACTTGGGTTGTGCTATGCATGTTTTATGGCCCCTCGACATGGTCCCCCCAAAAACGGTCACAGGTCTAAGGTCATTTGGGTCAGGTTCATGGAATTTTCAGGGTAGGTTTCTTGAGATTTGGTCAAGTTTGGCGCTTTCGGTCAACCGTCGTGAAAACGGCTGTTCTGAACCTTTCTGAGCACGGTGCAAGCTCAAATATACATATGTTACATGTTCCCATTCAATGATACATTAACCCTCCCCGGACCTATTGGTTTTCTACATACGCGCCGTCCGAGGGGGGGGGGGGGTACGATTTCCCTCGCCATTTCGCCCCTGATGAAGCTAGTAGTGATGGCAATTTCAGAAAACATATGTCCAATGTCCGTCCAATGTCCAATACTTACGTCGACTGTCCGTCCAAAAATGTCCAAGCCAGCCATTTGTCCAAAGATGTCCGACATCTACGCAATACTTTACACTCAACACCGTTAATTAATTTGCTTTTAATGTATCGTTACCAGCCCAAATCGGGCTAATGGTAGCTTTGCCCACCCCCTTATTCATTGCTGACTTGTGTATCTTTATCTCTAGAGCTTCCCGAATCGTTCTTCTTTTCCAGTTCCGTTCAATGGCCAAGGTTGTAGCTTTTCGCGGGTCCAAATCTCTAGCACTGAGAAGGCGTGTTGTGCTGTAGCCGAACACGCCGGTTAAGCTACCATTAGCCCGATTTGGGACGTTGCTTTGTGTTGACATGTGTTAGTTTTATAGAGAAAATGGGGAACCAAAGTTTTTTTTTGCATCTCAAAAGTATCTAGGCACTCTTTCTTGTCTTTGCATGTTAGCCAAAGTACAGGTTTTAATGCATTTTTATAAGAGACCGTCTGGCGCTTATAACGATTCCGACTTTCGACGATTTATACGATACGACGATGATACGAATCAGACGATGTATGATCGAATCTTATTACGACTGTCATAACGATGTGTGATGATTTGAACTGTATGGTTGTTTTAGCTTATGCGCAATGTAAAACAAGGAAGTCACAGATCATTGATAGCACGAACCTGTTTCGCATGTCATCACATTTGTATCGTCTTTTTGTATTTCATATTTCAAACCAGTGAACAAGGCTACTCAATAAAGCCGAAATATTTGGTTTTTAACAATTTTTTACCTCAGTGTAGCCCGAAACGAATACGAATTACTATTAATTCCCGAGGAAGATTCGAAATGACACTTCGTCAATACCTGACATCTAAACTGGTTTATGGACGAGGCTACCAGTACCATGAGAAGCAATAGTATCCTTGCAACAGAGTGACCAGGGAGTGACACTGTAAATGTTTATCGCTCAGTCTGTCGGTCACGGGACCGGGCCGCGTCACCAGACGTGGCGCCTCTGACAGAGGTCAGCCGCACCGAGCTCTGCAGACGTCCTGCCAGCTCCGAGCCGACAGTCCGAGGGCGGCAGCCGAGGACGGTGGATCACATACTGGCTCAGTGTCCGTGTCACCATGTCGGCCCTCAGCAGCCGGCTGGCGACCCTCCTGACTTTGGCCGTGCTCATCGTGACGGCCGGCTGTGACGATGGCAAGTCCATCCCCCTAGATGAATACGTACAACGGTTGGTGCATGATGAACTGCAGTCCATCGTCAGCACGCTGCAGTCAGGAACGGAACCTCTGGAGAAGAGGATGGAGGCTCTGGAACGCAGAATGGAGGAGCTGACCAGCCGACTGGACAGCCAGCAGACTCAGCTGGACGAGGCACAGACGTCTCAACTGGCTACAAGACTCGACAGCCAGCAATCGCAATTGAGCGAGCTCAACACCCAACTCAACGAACAAAAAACGACTCAGCGTGAGGCTTCAATCAGAATGGATAGCCTGACCTCCCAGGTTGACATTCTAGGATCCAAGCTGGTCGGAGCCATCAACAACACATCATCCCAACAGGAGCGTATTGATGACCTAGCTGCTACGGTAAACCATCACCATCCTCCCCGTGATTGCAGCGACCTGCCTGTCGACTCCCCATCTGGTGTATACCTCCTTCGGCCCAGTGGTAACATCACACAACCACCCGTCGAGGCCTACTGTGATATGGACACCGCCGGAGGGAACTGGACGGTGTTCCAACGACGAGATGATATCCAGCCCCACCAGGACTTCTACCTCGGATGGACTGACTACAAGGAGGGCTTTGGTAATGTGACCAAAGAATTCTGGTGGGGCTTAGAGCACCTGTTTCAGCTGACGTCATCAGGCCGACAGTACGAACTACGTATTGATCTTGAGTCGTTTGACGGTAATCGATCATACGTTTTATACCAAGGGTTCCGTATCTCGTCTTAGCTGGACGGCTACAGACTGAGCTATACCAACTACTCTGGAACTCCCAGGGATAGTCTGAGGTTCAGCGTCAATAAGAAGTTCTCTACCCGTGACCGTGACCAGGACGGCGACTCTGACAGTCACTGTGCACAGGACCATCAGGGGGCCTGGTGGTACGGCAGGTTGTGCGGGTTGAGCAGCCTGAACGGACGGTACCTGGACGGCGGTGATGAGGACTGGACTGGAATATGGTGGTGGGCGTGGAGGGGATTGGAGTCACTGAAGAAGACCGATATGAAGATCAGACCAACGTACTAATCTACACACCAAGGAGGACATCACAGTGGTGTAGATATCCCGGTTACATGTGTACCGAGCCAGTGTCACGGTATTTACTCGAACACTAACACTGTAGTATGGGTTAGAGTGTGAAGTTCTTACTTACTTACTCACGTGATGTACGAGGGTGCCACTCGGCGCTTTTCTGCGGACGAAAAGTATGATGTGCAATTATCTATACATAATACACATCTCTCTCTCTCTCTCTCTCTCTCTCTCTCTCTCTCTCTCTCTCTCTCTCTCTCTCTCTCTCTCTCTCTCTCTCTCTCTCTCTCTCTCTCTCTCTCTCTCTCTCTCTCTCTCTTTCTTTCTTGCTCTTTCTCACATATAATATATAGGTACCAGTAAAACGCCTTTTGGGCGAAGAACGAGCGAGCGAGATAGTGAGCCCTGCACATGCGGAAGGGCGAGAGGGTACTTCCGACGGGCCTGTGCAAAGCACCCTTCTAACCGGTCGCTAGCGGTGTGCCAAATTTGAACGCAATCGGCCCAGCCGTTCCTGAGATCTGGAAGCGGCATTCTGCACGTGCGCACGTGCAAACAGGGTCCAAACTGACTTTTGCACGGCACCCTACTAACTGGTCCCCAACCGTGTACCAAATTTGAGCGCAATCGGCCAAGCCGTTCTCGAGATCTGGAAGCGCGCCCTGCACGTGCGCACGTGCAGTAGCACCCTAACCGCAACACATGGGAATGCATTGCCTGGTGGGTGCCTACCTGTATGTCAGGTTTCAGCGAAATCGCCTCAGTAATTACCGAGTTATTGAAATGGGAACAAATTTGGCACCTCTTCTTTTTGCATTTTGCACGTGCAGTGGGGGTCACTCACATAGGTCAAGAGTATCCGACCTTTGGTAGAAGGGATGCAGCTACCCTACAAAAATTACCGCAAGACAATCGCCCAAGCGGCTGCTGAGATATGAGCCTCTCAAAATCACTACTTTTGCAAAACACCTTGAACACCCTTGACTTTTCACGTGGCACGTGCCACGACGGTCCCTGAAATGTATCAAGAGTAGTCAATTACGGGGTAGAAGGAATAGGACTACCCAACAAAAAAGACCACAGGCCAATCGGTCCAGCGGTTGCTGAGATATAAGCCTCTCAAAAGCGTTACAGGCCGGGCCGGGCCGCTCATACTGAGATTTTTCCGTTATATTGAAAAGACTTTGCTTCGCTCGCTGCGCTCGCTCGCTCGTAACCAGTAAAACGCCTTTTGGGCGAAGAACGAGCGAGCGAGATAGTGAGCCCTGCACGTGCGGAAGGGCGAGAGGGTGCTTCCAACGGGCTTGCGCAAAGCACCCTTCTAACTGGTCGCTAGCGGTGTGCCAAATTTGAACGCAATCGGCCCAGCCGTTCCTGAGATCTGAAAGCGGCATTCTGCACGTGCGCACGAGCAAACGGGGTCCAAAATGACTTTTGCACGGCACCCTACTAACTGGTCCCCAACCGTGTACCAAATTTGAGCGCAATCGGCCCAGCCGTTCTCGAGATCTGGAAACGCCCCCTGCACGTGCGCACGTGCAGTAGCACCCTAACCGCAACACATGGGAATGCATTGCCTGGTGGGTGCTTACCTGTATGTCAAGTTTCAGCGAAATCACCCCAGTAGTTACCGAGTTACTGAAATGGGAACAAATTTGGCACCTCTTCTTTTCGTATTTTGCACGTGCAGTGGGGGTCACTCACACAGATCAAGAGTATCCGACCTTTGGTAGAAGGGATGCAGCTACCCTATAAAAATTACCGCAAGACAATCGCTCAAGCCGCTGCTGAGATATGGGCCTCTCAAAATCACTACTTTTGCAAAACTGCTTGAACACCCTTGGCTTTTCACGTGGCACGTGCCACGACGGTCACTGAGATGTATCAGAAGTAGTCAATTACGGGGTAGAAGGGATGGGGCTACCCAACAAAAAAGACCGCAGGCCAATCGGTCCAGCGGTTGCTGAGATATAAGCCTCTCAAAAGCGTTGGCCGGGCCGCTCATACTGAGATTTTCCCGTTATATTGAAAAGACTCTCTTCGCTCGCTGCGCTCGCTCGCTCGTAATAAACGATGACATGCGCTCATGCCGCAACGATATTTCTAACACGTTACACACTTCAGGAAGTTCACCTGGACAACGTTTCCCACGGCCCTGTCTGTCCCAATTCCAGCCGCAAACACCTACTGATCAACAACACCTCATAACTGTAAACGCAATATGCTCTTTGCCCTCCCTTCTACCATACGAGAAGGGAGGGCACATTCATAAAACCCTCGTACACATTCATAAAACCCCTGTCCATCAGAAGACGTCTCCGGCCACTAGGAAAGTGGCTAAATCCTATTTTCGAACGGCCTCAATGAAATTGGGTGTTAATCCGCTTAGCGTGGCACCCTAGCGGCATCTAACGGCACCACTGCGAATCGCGCGGAGAATGAGGGCGTCATGAGATAGAGAGATTATCGGAAGTGGCTGTGGGCGAACAGAGGTGGCAGATGGATTAATCTGTACAGTTTTCAACTGGGGGGCTAACTATGGGTGCTCAAGAAAAAGAAATGTGAGGGAAATGAGGGGAGAGGCCGGCCGTTAGATAAGCTCCTGAGGGCAGAGACAGCGTGGACGGAAAGAGGACGGGGAGTGCCCGGGGCATTTTTAATGGGGGTCAGGTGTGCCCCGAGGCGGTAAAAACGGGGTCATGTCGGTTGTAAAGTTTCGCTGCAGCGCGACGGCGGTCAGTTGGGACGGGAAGCGGACAGAGGCAGGGCCACACCTAGACTGCTGCCAGAGCCGTGCAAGGTAGGTCACTTTAATACCGAACTTTGTTAAAAGAGCATGGAACTCAAGAATATTCAGCACTATCAGATCTGTGTCATCGTTTAAATTTTGACGCTTATAAATCCCCTGATTTCCCGGTCCATGACGCTTAAACTTGCTGAATTTGATAATTTGATAATTGTTACGTTTGCAGGCCTGGGACGGGTGTGCCACCCCACAACAGGGAGCAGTCCCCTCCCAAGGAGCAGTCTCGTCCCAACACCCATCACAATCTCTCGCCGGTGCCACTGGCCTTTACCGAAGCGCCCTCTCCGCCAGCCATGGGATCGTCTCACCAGCGCCTCTGGCGGCGACCTCGCCAACTAGCGCTCCCGCTGAATCTCCTGCTTCTGCTGCTACTGCTACCGACACGGGCGACACCTCTACCGGCGGCGACGAGGAGCAGCAGCCTCCTCGAGAGGACGAATGAGGACGGTGTCCTCGCCAAGGACACGGCGGGAGGACTGAGAGAGGAGAGACTGATGGAGCTGCTTACTCAGGCTGTCAAGGAAGGGATCAGGCATAAAATCGAGCGCCTCTGCAATATCAGCGAAAAAGGTAAGTAGCAAAGCAAAAACGGGGCAAATAGGTAGGCCTAAACAGTATACCCATTGATTGATTGTACAGCAATTTTTACTGCGGATCGTTTCATAAAAAAATCGATATTATGACATTCCATCCAATCTACAGTGAGGAAACCCGAGCAAGCTTTCGAGACTCAAACGGAAATCAAAGCACACCATCGAGCGCTGGCTCGATATTTGATGCCAGATGCTCATTATTGACCTCATGTCATGTGATACGGCAATTTTTGTTCATTTAAGCGGTTTGATACTTTTCTCATTTCGTCTGTCAGAATAAAGGCAATTTCAGGGGTGCGTTATCGAGTTACTACCATTTTGTGTGTAACATTGCATTATTTTCCTCGTTCAAAGTGAGCTTCTCAGGATCAGACGATTCGCCTAGCTCAAATGTCCTGGTGAGGACCAAGAACAACTTCATTAAAGGTGAGCAACTTACACGGAAACTGAGGTGCCTTGCACTACAAAATTGCAAACAAACTATTGGTATTGACATGATTTCAGATTCTATAAGTGGTTATCAATGGATAAGAATAAAAATCGAATAGCTTTCAACATGCATAAGCTCAATTTCATATAGGCTAAAGAAAACGTTACAGCTTTCTTTATTGGTTCAAAAGCAGAGGATAATTCAAAATTGTATGCATATGCAGATGCACAAAGTAACGTCTATGCATGCAAAATGCAACACATTGTGCTATTCACTTAGCTTATTTTATTATTTTGGTTCCTTTTTCAGAGCTATGTCCCGACATTGGTGATCGCTGCAGGAAGTACCCGAGGCCGCCACCAGATGTCAGGGTGGTCGCCCCGGCCTCGCACTGGGCGGTGGGCGATGTAGCCAGGTGAGTTCATGGACCAAATACCTACTACGATATAAACGAATATTTCCACAATGCTTCACCACGTCAATGGAGGAAAGATGATCAGTTCCCCATTTATACTTCTTTTTTTTTACTGCGCGATACCTTGTGTAACATCGCAAGACGATGTTATCAATTTTAATATTGCTTGGTATTAAATGTTTTGCTACGATGCAAATAACCACCAATAAAAACTGAGTTACGTAACATACCAATTAGTTAAAGGATCGGACTGCTGCATAACATGTAGGTAAAGATATTGATACGTCACTCAGCTCAGTTGAAATTATCAAAATCCAATAGCTCAAGCAGCGCTGGTAAAGTGTCGTGGGAAGTTACCAATATCACACTTTTTTGCTACAGCACCGCCATGCGTCAGAATGCTAAATATGCTTCCATTTGACGTCTTTCCAGGTACGAGTGTCTCCCGGGCTATCTATTCAGCACCGGGGTCACTGAGGTGACCTCGACATGTCAAACTGACGGATGGAGTCAGCTGATCTTCCCCAGCTGTGTCCGAGGTGGGTCATGTCACATACAGACCGACGCACAAACACGATGTCGATCAACAGTATTATTAGAGGATAGTGATAAACCGGCATTAGGTAGCAGCCATGACGAGTGAGAGAAAATAAACCGTGATGGTAACGGCCAATGTAGAAGTGTTCTTTCTCAACAGGACATAATACTGAGCCCATTTGTTTTAGTTTCGAAACTTTTGCACCATCCCGAAACAATCCGTCAGAGCTGTCTCTTTAAAAACTCATTTCAGGGATCTGTTTTTTTTCAAAGGTATGCAAATTGCAATATGCATTCATAATAATTATACCCTTGCTCTGAATATTCATGTGATGGTGACAATAAAGTTATCGTTGCTAGTAAAACATAATATAGGTAAGGTATTGTACTACCAATTATTCATTATCTCGCCATCTGTGTTACAGACCCGTGTCTTGCCACCAACGGCACGTGTGCGGGCGGCACGTGCAGCCACGTGTGCACCGCCGGCATCTGTTCGGCCAGCTGCGTGTGTCCAGAGGGCACGGTCCTCTTCGAAGGTCAATGTGTCTCGGGTAAGGAGCAGGATAGGCTTGGCTTGCGAGCGCTGGGCAATGTCAGGGTAGTTTCGTAATCAAGGCTGTTTTATTCATGGCGAAGTGTTTTTAAATGTCAATGAATGAGCCAATTAGACTGTTGAATATTTTGCATTGACTAATTTCAATTTGCAATCCGTATTTCCTCGATGGTTCTGCTTTTAATTTTTTGAAGCCCAGATCGGGAATTCGAAGATTCAAAAAACAAAATTACTAAACGTTTATAGCGAACATGTCTAGTGTCTACCTTTCTCCCTCTTCTGCAGTCCTGGCCTCGCCTCTGTTCCCCCCTCTCCGTCCCTGGCTGCGCCTCTGCTAACGACCTCCCCTTACCGCCAGACCCGTGCCACGGCATGCCCTGCGGCGGTCCCGAGGTCACGCTGGGGGTCACTGTGGAGCGTGACCCCGACTCGGGTCAGCCCTGGTGTCGCTGCCACTGCCGGCCTGCGGCTCTGAACATCAACAATCGCTGTTTGGGTGAGTAAATAATGGAAAAGCAACGGCTGATATAAACTTATGTAACGTTTGATTCACCTTAAGACTGTGTAGCACAATTTTCTTTTGGTTAACTTGAGCACTCAGGTCAGGTATGGGCGTCATTGTTACTTGACAACCATATTTCGTTTCTAAATTACCTTTTTATTCCTCAATAAGCTATGCAGGCGGCATACCATTTCCACGTTATCATGTTATCGGCATACCATTTCCACGTATTCCACGTTTCCCGTCATTCATAGATCGATATGTATTTTCATTATTCCGTGGCAACTATTCACAACTCTCTCTGTATTCACAGACTGTTGGAGCCCTGCCGGCGGCCGTCCACCGCTCTGCCCCTGTGACTCCGATTCGGACTGTGACCGACGGGTGACTCTCAGCGGGACGGTGAGTACCGGGTACCTGTTCGATACCAAGTACCGAGTAACGGTGATACCTATAGTATCTGAGCACAGCACTAAATATTCAGCGCAGCGCTAACTTTTCCCAGTATCAACACCAAAAGCCTAAAGCGTAGGTACTGAATACAAGTAATGGTCAATATGATATAATATATTAGTATCAAATACATAGAGGACAAAGTTAATAAATTCCTGCTTCATTTATAGGTATGCCTTATTGATTAGGTAAGAATTAAAATGTCAATTTCCATTCACGGTTTTATTTTACGTGGTAATGTCTCTGCTCTCGATTTTAAAGGGACCCTCCCACCTTAACATTAGATTTGAGTTGATATAGCCAAAATGGGGTCCCTGGCTCACAATTACCGGTTTCGGCACTCACAACATCGAGAAATGCCTTAAATCGGAAATATTGAATTTCAAAATTGCAGCATTTTGATTCAGAGGGGCTAATGCATAGGAATACCCCTCTGAATGTGTGACGTCAGCGCAGATCTAACGATTTTTAAATGTTTGACTAAAACGTTTTGTAGCACGCGGTGGTATATGCTGCTTTGTGGCTGCTTTGCGCGCAACAAGTGCCGCACTTTCAGCTGCCAAACTATTGCTTCCAAATAAAGTCGCTAGGAACAGCGGAGATCCCAAAAAGTAAACAAAAGTAAAAGTCTAATATCTTGAAAACCGGTGAATATTTTTCGGTGAAATTTGGTAGATATTCGTTTCCGCTCTTTCTGAACCGAGCGACATCACTTTCATGCCAATTCATTAACTTTTTTGAAGGTGGGAGGGTCCCTTTAATGCCTAATATCGCACGAATATGTAGTGGTGTGAAATATCAGTTAATCTGGCAAATGAGCTTGCTATTTTCTTCCTTTTCACATTTTTTAGAGTTTGTAAATTAATAAATGAAGTAGGGATATATAGGCTAATATACTGCTGCACATCATTTTTACGCATGGACACATCCGGCATGATTCCAGCTTTATTCACGCGAATCCGTTTCACCTACATTCCTTCACCTAGTAAACGCATCCGGTGTGAATTAATCTCTACCAATCGATAATCTTCATCGCGTGCACAGTCGTCACATAATCAAACGCGTTCCAATAAAACCTAGCTGCAATGTTACATAATTCAGTCATGCACTGTGGTCACAACGCGGCCCGACGCAAGCACGCGATTCAGCTTTCTCTTGGAATGTCATCAGTTTGTGGCAGATGTAGCCTGTTTGCGACATCTGGGTTCGATCACGGTTTCTTTGTTTCTTTGTTTAACACCAGGGAAACGTTATCGGGTGGCTTGAGATGAAGAGTTTTAGGGTCATGTGGGTGACGGGGGTCAATAACAGATTATCGATTCGTGTGATTGTGCTCGTGAGTCGATCAGCTTAGCTTTGGAGAGATTTGGTAGCTGGAATGTGTCTCATAAATCATGGTGCTTCAGTCTCACACTGAAGATTCGCGATAATTCATTTTTATTTTTTTCAATGCATCATTTGTCAATATTTGCAACATACACATGCCATAGTGTTATGTAATATTATATCGTTCTAGTAAGACCAATAACTGAAAAGGCCCTCGCAATCGCACCACAATTATCTATAAACAATGTTGCGTGTTTTGGTTTTTACCGAATGCACATTGCACAGGTCATGATGCGTGGGACAGTCGCACTTTCTTATCTTCCTGCAAAATATACGTGGCATGCTCCTACATAGAAGCGAATAAATTTCCCGCAGATACCCAATACGAAAAACAACCTAAAATAAAGCAATAACGATACATAATCAATCGATCGAATACGAGTGCGGTAGGAAATGATCATAAGGTGCCTGTGCTGGACTGCATGAACATTTAGCAATTTGTGGATAAACAAGTTTTGTTGAAAACAATACCTATAATCCCTGAAAACGTATGATTCCTATATAACTGGGCTGGCGACGCAATTCAAATAGCGCCGATACTGACGCATCTTTCTCCTTTTTTCCAGGGCCGGCCTGTGCGGGCGGGATTCTGTCTCCGCGGAGCGTGCTTCGACTGCGGACAGTTCCCCGCAGACAGCCCGGAGCTGCCGCTCGGGTGTCTCGTACAGTCCTCGGTCATCGCACCACCAGCCAATTCTCCGCAACAGCCGCCCATACCCTTCCTGCCCGCGCCTCAGGAAAGTAATGTATTGTTTCATGTACCCATGGCTCCTGTGGTTCCAGCTATGCCAATAAAAGAGACACCAGATAGGAACACATTGCTCACCACTTCTACACATTCCGACACTGCCACCGACTCATCTATCCATCCGAATAAAGAAAACTCCACCGGATCGCCAGGACCAACTTCCGAGCCGCAAATTCAAACTGTACCAGAAGGGCCGACACCGGAGGGGCAAGAACCGGAAGCAGAGAAGTCTGAGACAACATCGGTTCCTGACGTGACAACAGAAACGCCATCAACACCAGCGAAAGATGGGTCGGCTTCACAGGCGGCGCAGCCAACAACAGAGGCTCCGAGTGCAACAACAGGTTATCAACAGCCCACAGCAGCGACACTTGTGGAATCTACAACGGCAGCCCTAGCGAAATCTACAACAACGACCGCACATGAGCCGGCAACGGAAGCTTCGGACACCACTACAGGAGCTTCAGTGACAACAACGGGTTATCAACAGCCCACAACATCGACGCCTGTGGAATCTACAACGGCGGCAGCGCCTGAGCAGACAACAGCTGAGGAATATCCAACAACCGTTGAATCTGCGACAGCGGTGACGCTCGAGGAATCTACAACAGCGTTAGTGCCCGAGGAATTCACCACGGAAGCAGCGCCCGTGCAACCTACAACGAAGGCTGCGCCTCCGGTGGAAGCTACAACAACGGCAGTGCCCGAGTCTGCAACGGTAGCTCCTGAGTCAACAACGGAAGCTCTGGGGGTAACATTCGATTATCAACAGCCCACAACGGCAGTACCTGACGATTCCACAACAATGCCAGCGCCTGAGGATTCTACAACAACGGCAGCAGTGTCTGAAGAATCTACAACAGCAGCGCCAGTAGAATCTACGACGGGTGCGACCGAGGAATCTACAACGGTAGCGACTGAGCCTGCAACCGAAACTCCGGAGACGGCATCAGAAGTCCCCGAGCCAACAACAGAAGCTCCCGAACCGACAAAAGAGACTCCAGTGACAACGGGGCATCAACAGCTCACAACAACGGTGACGCCTGAGGAATCTACAATAACGGCAGCTCCGGTGGAGTCTACAACAATGGCGGCGTCTGAGCCAACGACAACGGAGGAACCTTCAACAATCGTGACGACTGAGGAATCTACAACAATGGTAGCAGCGCCGGTAGAAACTCCATCAACGGAAGTCGCGCCTCCAGTAGAGTCTGCAACAACGGCAGAGCCTGCGCCGGCAACAGAGACTCTGGAGCCCACTCCAGAAACTCCAATGACCACAATGGGTTACCAACAGCCCACAACGGCAACAACTAAGGAGCCAACAACAAAAGTGACGTCCGTGGAATCTACAACAACGGCAGCGTCCGAGTCAACCGAAGCTCCGAAGCCAGCATCGGATGCTCCAGAGCCGACCACAGAAGCTCCAGTGACTATTTATTACCATCAGTCCACAGCAACAACGCACGTGGAATCTACAACAACGTCGGCGCCCCAGTCAACAGAAGCTCCCGAGCCGGCAACAAAAGCTCCAGAGCCGACATCAGATGCTCCAGTGACAACAGCGGGTTATCAACAGCCCACAACAGTGACAACCAAAAAGCCGACAACGACTGTGGCGCCCGTGGAGTCTACAACGACAGCAGGGCCTACAGTGGAATCTTCAACAAAGGCAGTGACTGAAGAATCCACAGCAACGATAGCGCCTGAGCCAACAACAGAAGCTCCGGGACAAACATCAGATTATCAACAACCCACAACAAAGGCGCCTGAGGGAGCTGCAGCCACTGTCATGCCGGTGGAATCTACAACAACGCCACCCACTGAGCCGGCAACGGGCGTTCCGAAGCCGACAGCAGAAACTCTGGAGACAACGGGTTATCAACAGCCCACAGCAACAACGAGCGCGGCACCTACAATAGCGGTGACGCCTGAGGAATCTACTACAACGCTCGAGGAATCTGCAGCAACGCTCGAGGAATTTGCAAAAACGGCAGTAGCGGTGGAGGAATCGACAACGACAGCGCCCGTGCTATCTCCCGCCGATTCTCCCCAGACATCTCCGGCACTTGGATCGGCTACCGTAGCGACAGATGAGGGACAAAGAGGCTCATCCAGCACCACCAATTCTTCGAGGTCTCGGCCCACTGACGTCCAGACCGCTATTTCTCCAGAAAACTTAAAACCAGTCAATTCTACTACTGTAATTAGACCTCCAAAAGTTCCACTTAAGACCCATCCGGTAATCTCTCCCGCCAGTGTTCAAACTGTCTCCTCAAACAAACCTGTACAACCGGAATCGGACCCCGTCAAAACCCCTCCGATCTCCACCGCCGGCGAAGTCAGCCCCGATTTTCCAGAGGAAAATCGCCTAGAACTTGACGTCCTCCCGCCAAGCACATCCGCCTACGCACGACCATCCGCTATAGCCAGCGATGTTGAGGAAGTCAAAGCCACTGCGGTAGTTCGACCAGCACCTCCAGCAAGTGGTGCTCAACCAGCCAACAACGCTCGTCCAGATGCAACGAGTGTTCGTCCAACGAACGCTACAGCAGGCGTGATTCTAGTTGACAGAACCACCAATGAACGTCCAACTATTACAGTCATTGGCGTGAAGCCAGCAAGTACCACTGCAAATGCTCGGCCTCCGTTCGTCTTTATTCATGCTCGTACAGAAAATGCAGCGGCAAAAATCCCATCTTTCCCGGCAAGCGTTGAAGTTAATTCAACAAAGGACGCGAAAATTCGATCGAACACCACTGATCCCTCGGCGGAGATCGATCTTTTAAAATCCGGAGAAACGTCAAAAGTTGAACCGCTTGCAACCACCGAAGTCAAAACACCCAGCGCACCCTACCAAGCTGCCACAGTAGGCACGAACACTACCCACACATTGCCCATAACTCCTAGCACACATAGCAGCTCAGTCAACACAAGTCACTACCAACCTCCAGTCAAACCAGCCTCCAAAGTTCCAACCGACATTCACTCTCCTTCCCAACCTCATTCAACCGACAAATCCCAGCAATCCGTTCCAGTATCCAAAGTCCAGCCGACAAAGCCCGACACCAGTCAGTCCCGCTTCTGGTAGCACCAAAGTCCAAGCCGTTTCCCTCACCAAGACTGTCCGTCCAACTTCCAACGTCCTCCCTACTTCTAACGTCAAACCAACCTCCCACACAGCAAAAACCCGTCCAGTGGTCTTTCCCTCCAGGACCGGACGTCCCTCCTCTTCTCCCAAATCCCCAACGACCCAGACCGAGGCTCGATCACGACCCTTTCCGATAATCTCTGCCACCCCTAGCGGCCTGGAACTGAGCGACAACGAGTTGTTAAACGTGCTGGAGGAGGTGCTGGAAGCGGCTGGGTCCGGATCAGACCTGGACCCGTATCCGGGGAGTCTGATCCTTCCGCTCGGACCGGGACCCGAGGGTGGTCTTGTGACGCGGGTCAGAAAGGTCAGCAATGTGCTACAGCTGCTGGGGGAGCGAGGGAGGGTCTGAGAGACTCCCCTCTGGCTGTAGTGTTGATCAGCACGATCTCATTTTATGTTGCATTGTTTCATTTTCACCCGTGTGTTGTATATAGCTTATGTTTTAAATATCATTGTTCCCATGTTCGTTCGCTATAGTATCATCCCCGCCTTGCATGCCATCGTTCATTTGATTGTAAAATATATGTTCTGAGTGCCAATTACAAAGTGTATTATGGATGATACAGAATGAATAACGAGAGAAACGTGGATCTAGCATAGTTGGGATTTCCAGGCGGAAAATAGGCGACGTCACACTATCTTTTCAACGCACTGATTTCGAACTAATCAACAAACAAAACAAACAGGTCGGACTAGACGATAGAGCCTATTAAATATGCGAGGGGAATCTTGAATTAACACAACTCGTTTACTGCAGTGGTCATTAGCTGAGAAGCATGTAATCTAATTTTTTAACGAGTGTGAAGTCAGCTATGCGGTCACGACTGGGCAGTGGTAAACCGCAGTGGATTGGACACAATGGGGGCTGGCCGGGGCGGCCTGATGTCACCCAATCCCTCGAGCACGCCTTGGACCGGGGGTGTATCCGTGTCCAAACTAGAGAGGAGACGGCGATGGACGGGAGTGAGGGTGGCACGTGCCAAACCAGAACACAGAGACCAGCCGCGGACAGGCCGGTTTGTGGCCGAATGTTTCAAAACTTTTCAAATATTCCACAAAAGTACATGGATATGGATTGAATTATGAATGGAGGCCGATTGTGTGCTAGCTATGAATGATAAGAAAAAGTCGACTAGCTAAAAGTGCAAAGCCGCACTGAAACCGACCACGAATCGCCGAACCATTGTTCGCGAGATGCCAACAATGTTTAGTAGAGTGATGTGCAGGAAGGACTCCCGTTTTTTGTCGTCTATCACGAGCATCTTAGTAACATTTTCACTGGAGCACGTAAATCCTTCGCTAACGAACCGGCTGTCTAATAACAAGGATTATTACTTAGGTATGTAGCTAGGTATGTACTACCCAGAAATAAACGCGAGGAACCCAGCCGATCTCGGGTGGAACAGACCTCACACTAACAAAGAGACTAACTAGGCTCCACACAACTTAGAGCAACCGGATTTAATAAACGGTTTTTAGGATGGAAGTAGCTAATTGGAGCTGCGAGAGGCGAGTAGAGAACAACCGCGCCTCGCTACCTTACAAACTCAGATAGACCGCCTTGGAACAGCCAGAAGTGTGGAGAAGAGCGTTGATTGATGAATAAGTGTATGCAGAACTTGCGGCGGAAGTGGTAACGCGTGTAGTTGGCGGCGTGAAAATGGACTTGGAACTAACGAAGCCGAGAGGACTGTGCTAAGGCCTAAGAACAACCAATACAAGACGCAAGTAACGCCAAACCCAGAATACCAAAGCAGCATGAGAGCCAAAATCTAAATGAATAAGTGAATGAGTGGGTGAATATCAGGACGGTGCGCTGCCTCTGTCGTTCTATACGAGCCTAGTCCGACCTGATAATACCAACAGCAGCGGCAGCGCAGCGACACGCTCGCAGTGCGACTGTGCGTTTGACCGCCCGCCGACCGGCCGCCGGCTGGCCCAGCGCCCCGCCCTGGAGCACTGACGTCACAGGTCAGGGCGGCAGAGGCGCACTCAGGTACAGCAAGCGAGGGTCGGGGAACACAGTGGCATCACCTCTTGACATGACTGCGTCTTACTTTGGGCGAGCTTATGCCTCAATATGGGTAACGGACATAATTGTTTGGTGTTTGGTATTGTTTTGGTCTAGCTCTTGACCAATCAGGAAAGCATGCAATTGAATAAGCAATCCAATTGAATAATCAAACATGCAATTGAATAATCATTTTTCAGCGATATTTTCTGCTCGGAGAGGATTGCGCAACGTCGGTATCAGTTCGACATGAAAAATTGACAAGTTGTCTCATAAGCGACAACTTTGATACCAAACGAACGCTTGTCATATTTCTACAGCCAAATTATGGAAACGAGCGGATTTCAGACCCTAGAATCAACATCAATCGCCCTGGTTATACTTACGTTGATGTCTGGATAGTGGATACCCCCCTTAAAAACTTTACTTTACCAGCAGAGTCGGATTTCAAGTCGGCTTTCATGACCGAGAGGCCATCTCAACATTCTGCTACAGAATCATTGTTAGGTTTCAGCCTATATGTTTATAGGTGATGTCGAGAGCACTAATGCTCCCTTTTGAGGAAACTGTTGTGAGAATATTCCCTTTTAGAAGCATGTACATTTGAACGATGTTTGAACATATAATGGCGCACTCTATCTGACAGCCGTTAACATCGTTCGGGCAGACCCGACCGTCGGATGGAGCGCCATTTAATACCAGGCTCCTCCTACGGTTCGATTATATCGGTTGTCACTTGAGCGACGTCCTTAAAGCACGTTGCACAGTGCAGCATTTGGCATAGAGTGAGACACACCTGCGCATACATAGTTGGCTCTGTGCAAGCACTGAGTGGTACCGAGGACTGCTTAACACACCAAAGTAGCTGCTCGGCCTGGTGGACTTGTCTGTTGGACATCAGCCGTAACTGAGTTCAGCTTGAGAAGTCATGGAACGTCTAGGCAATCTACTCTCAGTGGGCAAGACATGGTCGGAAGAGACATCTTTCTCCAGCGGGTCATTCGGGGAGCTACGTGTAGTTGCCTTCCACGACCCTCCATACGTATCGATGGAGAAAACCGCAAATGGCAGCTACGCCTACAGCGGGTACTTGTACGACATCTGGAAACTGCTTGCCGGGAACCTGAACCTTCAATACCGAATGGTGGAGCCGGAAGGATGGGGGTTCGGCAGCTGCTACCCCAACAGCACTTGTACTGGCATGGTTGGCGAACTGTTTTACGGCAGGGCCGACGTGGCGCTGACCTGGCTCCTCGACCGTCCAGATCGCGCTGCTGTTGTTGACTTCATCCACGTCCCGATCGAGGAGAACTACGACGCCTTTCACATTGTTGGAGGGACTGCAGATGTTCCTCAAACTGCTGCACAGATGGCGGGATCGTTACTGAGGCCGCTACACGCCCACGTATGGTGGGCAGTGCTTGGTGTGCTGCTTGTCCTCTCTGTGGCACTTCGAGTCGTCATTTACTTCAATCAGGGCTATGGAGAAAGGAGCCAGACTGTGACCGAGATGACGTTTGGCTCTTGTCTGTTCTACAACTACATGTCTCTAGTTGGACAGAGCTGGGCCATCGTACCAACCTCATCATCAGCCAGGATCGTGACCATCATCAGCTGGATGATCAACATCATCATCGTAAGCAGCTTCACGGCCAACCTGATCTCGGATCTCGCCGTGGTCACCGTGTCTCGTCCGATCGGCAGTCTTCGCGAGTTCACGGAGCAGCCAGACTGGAAGCTGGCCATACGACCCGGTCACGGTGTGCTATACGATTGGCAGATGAGCCGCGACCAGTACGAGCGAGAGCTCTACCGAAGGAGCTCCATTCATGATAGAGTCATTGAACTGGATAACGCTCAGCTGTTTCAGATAACCATTCAACCGAAGGTGATGACTTTTTTCGATATAAAACACCTGAAGTTGACGATAGGAGATGCCGCATGTTCCCTCGTGCCACTTCTGGATCAACCGGCAAAGCTCACCCCCAACTACTTTGCGATCGCTAAGGGTCAGCCAGCACTGAGGAGACTCATGTACGCCGAACTTCTGAGGATGTCTGAAATGGGCCTGATTGGGCATCTAAAGCGCAGGAGATTCAGCCGCATCGAGAACATGTGCACGTCCTCATCGGACACCAAGGCCATGTCTTTGGGGAACACCCTGGCCTCCATCGCACTGGTTCCTCTGGGGGTGGTCCTCGGCCTCGCTATCGCCGTACTGGAGAACCTCTGGGCCAGGGCTGTCACTAAACGGCATGTCACCGGGGCAGTCGACAGACAGCACTTTATAGTCATGAAACTGGTGTCATGAAGGCCTCCTAGGTGCAGCTAGGGTTTAACTACATTGTTCTAGGCATAAGAAAGGTGTAGCGTCGTGTATCGTACGGCAGCAATGGGCTGAGACATTGGTTGTTGTCACCTATTTGCGGTAGAGCGTTACCGTTACTGACCATATATGAGAGTTGTTTCTATCTCTCCGAAATATAACCAATCGCCCTTCGTCTGGCATCGCACCACACGTGGCCACTCACAACTCACCGCTTCTGTGTATGTTCAACAAAATCAATGAGTGCGTGCTATCACTGCAAAATAATGTATATCGAGTAGCATATTCACGAGCACTTGCACTGTGCACTCATGTGCAGTGTGTTTCATTCATGATGTAATTAACTGTATCTGGGCTAATTAGCTGTATCTGATGGGGCTAAACTGTGCTTCATGTCACGTCTTCATGTCTGAGTTATACACATGCCATTTGTCTGGATCATTTTGGGTGTATGGAACCTTTCTCCCATGACGCAGCATTGCCGGCTGCACTATGAGCCTGCCTGAGACTACAAGCGCCAGTTAAATATCCACATCGAACCATCAGTCTGTCTGCAGCCTGCAGATATCATAGGAATAGCTTTCTTCTCTTCTCAGATCGAGCCGTGGTATCAAAATTTCGCCCGAAGAAATGGGAAAAACACGAAGACAGAAATCAATTACCATCATTGAATAACTATGAAGGAGCATCGTGAGATGCTTGGCTTGGCATGAGCATGAGCATCGCATATAGTAAAGTAGTATTAGTATACTCTATTTCTACATATCATCAACTTTGTTATATGTATGGAAGGCATACATATACCATATACCGACCGATTGATTGACTGTCAAAATCGATTTCCAAACAGCTTCCATGTTCGACACTTCCGCTGTTGTCAGGGCGAGCCGATCCATTAGGCGTTCACCAATGCCATTTGACGTGCATCCAATAGCTACTCTGCAGAACCTGCGCAGTTGTTAACAGCTAGCGAGTCTACAATGAGTAGCACTCAGTGGCGACTCAGTGCATTTGCACAGCCAGCCGTGACATTTTACTGTCACCAAGGTCGTCGCAGCTTTGCATGAAGTTCACTTAATTTACCGTCATTGACATTTTGTTTTACTTTTAGTGTTGATTTATTTAAATGACACTCTGTTGTTTTTCTCACGGTTTCATTTTCATGAACATTTTTCAAATCTCGTTCGTCAAAGATGAATCTTTACCAGCAGGAAGCAAAATAATTTAGCAAAATTATTTCCAAAAATCTTCATTAATGCTCGACTAGATTTCGGAAGTACTAAGAACGTTGGTAAATAAGGATGTTCAGTTTTTACCTAATGCTGGTTTATGGTTATATAAAAAAAAACATATATTTAACCCCAGGTCAGTCATCTATGCGCGTGCATACTTTTCGTGGCCTTATCAACCTCATTATTGTCAGCATCGTTCAGCTAGTAAAAAAATCAATCAGAAGCAAACATGTTTATTATAAATATAATATAAATATATACGACGCACACAATAGGGGACATTGGCATTGCCTTTGAACAGCGCTTACGGAGTGTATAACAAGTAACAACTGTGTAGTAAACTTAGGTATCAGCACATACAGGGTGGAAAGTAATTACGCGAACATACTTTTTCGTCTTATAGCAATGGAAAAAGCGGCGGTGACATGAAAATTTCATCCTTCCATATATTCCTATTTATGTGCGATACACTGACAAAGGCGTTCAGGCATAATTGACATGAGCATGTCAAGCACTGTTGGCCAAAGCTTAGTCCACGCCTCCTGGAGCTGTGGTGAGGCAATCGATGTTGGTGGCTACTAGCAGCTCTTAGACGCTCTCCTGAAGAGTCGCCTGGATATTTTTGATCAAATTGAGGTCTGGGCTATTCCCAGATTGACCATTATATGCCCAGAAGAAGAACAGGTTCTCAAAGCACCAGTCTTGCGTCTTTTTGGCCGTGAGAGGAAGGACTTTATCAATCATGAAGAAGAGTTTCTTTGCGTCGGGCACAAAAGTGCGCTCAATCATTTTGCCCCTTTTGGTGCATTGGTGGATTAGATAAAGAGACTCGTCTGGAAGGATGTTCCACTAGTTGTATACTTTATTTTTGGTTGCCTTTTTGGTCACTACATGCAATTCTGACACCATCCGGGCGCTCATAACACGCTGATGTGTGTTCCTTTGCCGGATGTTTGAAGGTTGGGACGGGCGGGACGTCGGACGCATCAGCATCCCCCAACGCGTTGTTCTGCAGGTTTGACGGATGAAATAGCTTCGAAGATGTCTCACCCAACCACAAAGCCAGCTGCCTGTCCTCATCTGTTCAGGCTTGCCGGTCTTTAGAAAACTTAAATTGACAATCCTGCTGTTAATTCATGAATTTTGGCCATCTCGATTGTTTGTACGGCTTGATTTTCGAATTTTCACGGATTTATGTATGAATCGTGATATCTTAGATCGGGTACCCGGCCATAGTAAACCATTTCGCCTGTTTTCGGATCGACTGTTGTCGTTTGGTCGCGGAAATGGTGACCACCCATTCGGCGCCTGAATTCGCCGAGGTTTTACTGCCGCCAACGACTTTGCTTTTTAAGTCCTCCTAAGTTTTATTATGCTTCAACCAAACGTGTAATTTAGTAATGCTGGTGCCGAGACCGTTCCGAGTCCCTTCCGCACCAATCCAGCCAAAATAATCACAAACGCTAGCCCTGGCAACACCAAATTGCGATCTTTGCACATTGTGGTCTTGTGCAGCGTATGGCGTCTGCACCATTCGAAGTCTAGACGTGTTGTAGACCTTCCAAGTCATTTTTCAAAGTAAGGTCACTTTTGGTAGATAAGGCGACAACAAACACGACCAATCATGTTCCATGACAGCCCGCGCTCATACAAAATCTCCACTGACGGGCGAAATTGTAAGAAAATACATGTTCGCGTAATTACTTTCCACCCTGTACAATAAAACAAAACAATAACACAGGCTGCAATTACCTGCAGGCGACTTCGACATGATTACAATTTAGGGTAACGAAATGGTGTTGGTCACGTAAATTGTTAACCTCAAACAGAGACGTGATAAAACGTCAGGCAAAATTGTGTCTTACGGTCATTATTTCACCGACTAATAAAATTATATCACATTCAGCTGCTTCCGCTATAAAGTAATCGTCTAACGTAAAATTGTCGCACAAGAATGACATACTTTAGTTCGTCTTAAAATACGCTCAGGTTGACCTTTGAAATGTTTTCACTCTCGCACGACATCATCTGGTTCCGCTTGGAGAGTGGCTCCAGCACGAGGGGCGCTACGTCCCTTCGACCCTTCTCGTTGTCACAGAGCAGGCGCGCCAGGCTGGCCTTGCGGACCTCCCGCAGCTGTTCTCCGCTCAGGCTGCGCTCGTAGAAGAGCCTGTCGCCGTCCCTCAGCCGCCGAAACTGGTCAGCGATCACACACTGGAAGGTGGGACCCACCTTGGCCGAGGGTGCGTGACGCTCCAGCATCCCGCCCACCCAGAGGTCAATGTCGTCGGGGCTGGAGTAGATGGCACGAAGTTCCTCCAGCTGACGTCGCTCGAAGGCGGTCTCCAGATCTGTCCAGCTAGTCACCGATTGTCCGGAGCAGAGCTGACGGATGGCCGTATAGGACGGCAGACCCAGATCCCTGCCGCGCAGCACCTCCACGGAGGCCAGCTCTAGCGTCGGCGATGGCCCAGAAACAAAACTGGCATAGTCCTTCAGCGTCGAAGTTTTCCTCAGAATGTCAAGAAAAGAGCGCGTGGTGCGCATAACCTTCTGTGTCTTTTCCTGGTGTTCCTTCTTTGGACGCTGCCAAAAGCGGAAAGCAGCCGCCGCGAACTCGACACTCACGGTAGGATCGACATCACTATCCTCCGGAGCGAGTGAGATGGCCCTTGCGGCGTCGGCTCCCAGTATGTGCGGCAGGTACTCTCTGTAGGTGATGTGCTGCCACTGAGCGATCACCACGCGGCGCGCCGTCTGGAACAGCCGCTCGTCCTCCCACAGAGGGTGGTTCTGACGCAACACTCCTACTATACGGTTATGCTCGCGCAGAAGAAGATGATCAACGTTTATCTCAGGTAGCCCAGGTAGATTTTCGCTGTCTTGGAATCTCATTGAACGAGCCTCGCGACCCCACGGATTCACTTTGAAGAAAGTCTTCTTGACCATCATGGAAAGCAAGTTTCGGAAGGTCAGCTTGGGGACCAGGAGACGAACTGGTCCCGGGACTCCAGGAGGCCCCGGCAGCCCTCTGGGACCAGGCAATCCGGTGTAGCCAATCCACCCCGGTGGGCCCCTTTCTCCCTTGGGACCACGCAGCCCGTCCTTTCCGTTCCTGCCGGGAATTCCAGGAGGTCCGCGCAGTCCCAGTGGCCCCATCGGGCCAGGCTCTCCCTTGATCCCCGGGTAGCCGTCCTTGCCAGGGGCACCTGGCTCTCCTGGGATGCCTTGTGGTCCTGGGCCTCCATCGTATCCCGGCTTCCCCGGTGGTCCTGCAACTCCAGGCTTTCCAGGGGCTCCCGTCTTGCCCGTATAACCAGGAGGACCGATGGGGCCTTTGGGACCGACGGGGCCTACGGGTCCTCGATCTCCCTTTGCGCCGTACTTACCAGGAGGCCCAGCCGGACCCATGGGGCCGACAATGGACTGGCCAGGCTTTCCAGACTCTCCCTTCGGTCCATGAGGTCCGGGGGGCCCGGTGTATCCCCTAGGTCCCGCAGGGCCCTTGTCTCCTTTCAGACCGGGAGGTCCAATGATGGATTGGCCGGGCGTACCAGGCGATCCAGGTTTGCCGTCTTTACCGGGGGGACCTCGAGGTCCTTGAGGACCACGATACCCTGGCTCACCACGCTCTCCGGGCTTCCCAGGCATACCCTTATCTCCTTTCATTCCCGGCATCCCCTTGTCACCCTTTTCACCTTTGTAGCCTTTTGGGGAGGGTGGTGGAACGAGAACCTTTTGTTCGTTGTCTTTAGGAGGAGCTCTGTAGTTGTAGCTCTTCCCAGAAGAAATGTCCAACTGTCTGGGTTGGTGGTTGCCAGCAGCCTGGTCTGATGTTGAGGACACCCTCAGATCAAGCCGCGAAAGGCCAAGCGATCTTTTGTTACGATGAATCACAGCAATCTCGGAAAGGCCGGTAAGGTTGGCGCTATTAACGTCTTCAAACTCAACCATCTGGTCGAGAACATCCTGCTGCGGTTCGAGTTCATCCCTGAGCCGGCCCCCGCTCAGCGTCCTCAGTCGCCTGCCTGCCTCCTCTGAGCTGCCGTACAGCGTCTCCAGGTCCAGGTAGGAGGAGGCGGCAGACAGCGGCGCCGCCGGCCGCATCACGCAGTCCAGCTCGGGCGCCGGCAGCGCGCGCACGAAGCTGACGCACCGGTGGGCCACGGTCAGCGGCAGGCAGGCCGGGTGTCTCTCGGAGCAGCAGTCCGGCTCCCTGCCGTCCGGGAGTCGGAACGGCACGATGCGCGCCAGGTCGCGACTCAGCGACTCGGACCAGGCGGCCGCCCAGCCGCTGAGCGGGCTGTCGGAGAGCGCGGCGGCCAGCGGGACAGCGGCCCGCTCCGGAGCGGGCAGCGGCGACCCCTCGGACGAGGAGGAGCGGGGGGAGAAGTAGAGGAGGTCCGCGTAGGTGGCGGCGCTGAGCCGTCCCAGGCCCGTCAGAGACCGGCCCACGTACGGGGACTGTGGAGGAGAACGAAACTGTCAGGCGGAGGCCAACTGGTGCGATTTGCTGTTTATGATTTACAACCAAGGTCTAGCCATCACTTGAACTTGAAACCATCACTAGAACAAGTACTTTCACAACACACATTTAGACAAAATCAATAATAAAGATATGCATTTTCGAGACATACGTTTGTCATGTTATATCTATTCTATTGGTACCTAATTTAAGGTTTTGTGCCTATATTTCACGCCGACGACTCAGTCCGTCTCACCTCTACATTATTGCACTCCCCGGTGAGGGTGCGTTCGGTGTTGTTCCGGTCACATTTCTTGACGACAGCAGGGGTACAGCCCGGCACGAGGATCTCTCCCAGCTCCTGACTGCTGTCTGGTGATGTCAGTGACCTGAGGGATGTGAAAAGGCGATTAAGTATCACTGATGGGCATGGCTAAATGGAGACGTCAGCAACGTCTACTTGATGACAGTTGACATTATCGATCATCAGATTGGTGGCTGTGAATGATTTCTTGAAAGGCGAGTCGAGTGTCTATTTTATTATTTTCACACTAAAGAGGCGAAAAGCGATCCAAATGATTAAAAACAGAACAATTAACAATAATTAGATAGTGTCTTGCCTACCGATTTCGAGAATGGTTTGTGAAATAATCCAACAATAAATCCCCTACCGTCTATTTAATATGCTATGGTATCGTACTTTTAGTCCACCACACCGAAGCCCCGTGTCGCCACTCACAGCGATGTCTGGTTGCCGACGGCCTGGACGGTGTGGAGCCGCTGCAGGCCGATCCTGCCCACCTCCTGCTGGACGGCCGGGTCGCCGCCGGCGGCCGTCGTCAGCTCGGTCAGGTCGGCCTCCTCGGGGCCGGGCCGGCGCGCCGCCGCCGACAGATGCTCCTCCAGCTCGCTCAGTAGCGCTGAGGCGCTGGCCGACCGCCGGAGAGCCGCCTCGGCCGAGAAGGAGCCCGGAGGAGCCCGCAGCACCCACCGGCCGGACGGGGACAGGGGGCGCAGCGGCGAGGAGTGCTGGCGCAGAGCTGATTGAGCGGGGTTCAACGGAAGGAGGGCGAAGCTACCGCTGATGATGCCAGAAGCAGCCAGCAGGAACTGAAACGCAGAGCGGGAAAGCGTTAAAAATCGCTCAAGTTCCTCGTTGTTCTTTGACATTATAGTGATTGTTGGAAGAGCATAGAGTGATAGTTATGTTAGTACTACAGTTGGCGTCTAATCCTTAACGTTCCAAACATTTGGGTGGACATAAATTGAGTTGACAACACACAAAAAAAAAAACGGTTACAATGGAATACGATACAGTCATGTAAGGTGACAAACGTAGATTTGAATTATATGAGCCTACAACTACGAGAAGTAAGCACCAAAATGACAAATAACAAAAATATTATTGGTTATAAAAGGCGAGGCCATGTAGCTGCAAGCTTTGTCATCACATTTGTTTTTACACTCAAATTAACCCATCTCGTGTTTTACCAAAAATAATCATCAATTATGGTTTCAATCTATCAATATATCATGTAATCTGCCATTCCAATGCATATTAATTTGCATAAGCTATTTGAACTGTCGAGCAAAAGCTCCCGGGTACTCTTACGTTGGTAGTTAATTGATGATTTTGTGTAATTACTATTAACCAATACACGTGCCACGGAGATATGATACATCATAGGTATACACCGCCGATCGAGCATTGAGTTTCATTTCTTTTGAGTTACGATAGCAAGAACGAAAATGTATTATAGCTTAGCGATAGGCTAGCACTGTCAACTATTTCTTCGTGGACTGCGCTGGCGTGATGCCCAGCACGCGAGCTGAGCTTTTATGCATGCAATGTGACGATAATTCCCTGGTAGTTCGATACACTAAATGCCCGGGCTGTCAACGTGCCACCTATTTTCCGTGTGTTTTTGTCGCTGTTTTTTTTTTTTGTCGTTTTTACAGCGGCGCAGCCGATTAATGCTTAAATGGATGTCGATGGATGAATAATAAATAAAAAATGTTTGCAAGAGCCAATTCTCACAAGAACAGTTGGATACTGTGTTATGACATCACATTATAAAGGCTTTTTTGATGATTTTTGTCGACGTGTTGTCGACTTGTTCAATTTAATCCAACAAAAACCTATGGCTCGTTATTGAGTTTATTTATGTAAGCCAAATCTGAAGGGAATATTGCATGATGAAAAGGCCAACTTTCCTAATAATATAAATCGAACAACACAATTTCTTCAGAACGCATGAAGGTTAACCAACTTGAACGAGGGATAGGTACTAAGATTATTTGAAGCTGTTCAGAATGAAGCATGTTAAATTGTATGATTACACTCAATACGTAATAATGACAATGAATGATGGAATACATGTGGTACAATGGAACACTCACCAAAATCGTCTGATGTCCCATCCTGGTTTCTCAAAGCACACCAATTCAATCCCACATCTTCTCACAGTGCTGCTCAGTCCGCACTGCCCTGGTACGCCAGAGACGCCCGATTTTAACACCACTCCCGCGCCCTCTCTCTCGCTGTGCCAAAGTCAGGTCAGACGTCGATTCAGTCCGGTTTAGTCCTCGCCCCGTTCCAAAAACTCCGCCGAGTGCGAGTCTCATGTCACCAACCTGTCGTATGCGGATTTGGGCCGGACTGGCGGAGAGGAGAAATCTGCCGGGTGTACTGCAGGGCTGCGCTGTGTCCCCCCTCCCCGTTCCCCACGGTCGTCTCTGATAATCCCTTCGTCACAAATTCCGGCTCTGGGAGGCCTGGCTGACGGGTGACGGGGCCCGCTGAGGGTGACAGATCGCGTCAGCGCGTGACGTGGCTGACACAAATATCGTGATTGACAGATCCACGGGAAGCTACTCACGTGGGCGTGAAAAGGGGCTCACGAAAGAAAGTGCCGGAAAGTAATACGATGTTGAGATAGGAAAGAAGCAGCTTGTGGTCACAAAGAAGAAATCGAACTTATTGCCGTTACAGTTATTATGTGTAGGTAGACATGATTGACATAATGCGCAAACAATTAAAAGATGATCAGTATTCTGTATTTGTATTTGGATAAATTTGCACCTTGTAAAGCATTTGTCTCTAAAGGAATCCATTTGGGTGAATAACGCTGACATAATATTCCATACATATTCTGCCGCCTACAAACGTGCAGTATCACCCTTCTTCTTCACAAAAAAAATAAGCATCACCTACTTTCCACCACTCGACAAGTTTCTGAGACGATCAGTTTTTACATGTATGTCCTTACCTACTGATAAGTCATCTAGCCCATCTCCGTACTAAATCCAGTCTGGTATGTTTGTGCGAAGCTACGCAGTGCCCAGTGCTAATAGCTGTCCTGATTACGCTATCGTTCATCAGGATTACCGTTGAGCCAGGTGGGAATTAAGGTGAGAAGACTAACGCAGTCTGGAGGAATGGTATGCGAGTTTCGATCAGATATTTCGGGACATGAAGAGTTGACAGTTCATCTGCGCTCGGCTCTCATGTGATGCATCTATGTGGGTAATCGTAGTGCAGCGACCTGATGAAACCAAGCTTTTTGGGTGTCTCCTGCACCTCTAAAACATTTCCTCGGTATTGGATTCAGGCGAGAGACAAAATCGGACTGGTGCTGGTATTGAAAAATGAGGAGGAAAATAAGGGAACTAATGTACTCAAGACTTGAGACAAAAGTTCCATGGTCAGGTGACCCAAGAACCAACTTTGAGTGGTGACTGCTGGTTTCCGTTTCACATAAAATGCCAAAGGAATGCCAGTGCTGATATTTATATCCATTTCTTGATAATGGAAAGTTAATTCGTCACGGTTGTCAAAGTTCTTAGATCCCAAAGGCTACCAAATAACACCTTATCAAGTAGGCAACAACAAAGCACTTAATGACAAAGATTATCCGGGAGTGATTGGTGTTAGTGGAAAGACAGCGAAAAGAGAACCAAACCTCCTGGATGATAATGAAATCTAATATTTATCAGCACGGATTCCACAATTGATAAATTGGTTGAACCTGAAAATGGGCATAGCAAACATAGCTCCGAAAAACAGCAATAAAGACGTGTTTTCATGCCTTAGTTTTCAGCCAGCCTCCATGCCTGGATCATTGAGTATCACAACGAGATAAGCTGTCATCTATAAATCATTTAATGCTTAGGCTAACCCAAGCTTAACCCACACAGGCACGTGCCATGTAGATAACGTAACTTTTAATGGTATACGACAACGATAATGTCAAGACGTGTTTCGTGTGATAGATCATGTAGCAGTTTGGACTTAAAGCGAGCCATAATAATGCGGGATAAGGTGCAACAGCCTTGCAAGAATACTTCTAAGGTTCGTTATATAACTATAATGGATAAGAAAAGAGCAGATTGCAGATGCACTGTGCTAGTGATGGTAACCGAAGGTTTGTTGTCAATAGTTGGGGCATTCCACGTCAAATCAAACACCGAAATCCGTCATCCCCTTCGATTTTTCTGAAAATTTGTAGGCAGACTGGGCATGGTTCAAAACTGAGTTATCGTATAATATTTTCGAAATTTGATAACGTATCGCTGAGATATAGGTCATCGAATATAGCGAAAAATGCCACACATCAATTTTTTAAATGGCTATAACTCTGGTTCATTTTCTTGTATCAAAATGATATTAACAGGGTCTTATAGGCAATTGATAAGGCTTTGATTTTTAATTATAAAATTAAATTGAAGTGACCTTGAAATGCATTTGACCTTGAATTAAAACATAAAAATTTAAATAGCAAAAAACACGTCACCTTCGATTTGGGTAATTTTTACATATTATGTCCGTCACAATGTTCCTAACCATCTGTGAAAAAATTGGAGTGGGCCATTCATAACTTTCGCGGCAAACGACGTTTTCATGCATCAACATCACGCAACCGCGCGTGACCTTGAAAGACAGAGTCAAGACATCCTTGCTTGTGCACACTTTCTGAAATGAATGATTGCTGATTAGTGATATCCCAAACTCTGCGACAATGGAAATGCATAGTCATCGTAGTCAAGCATTCACGTTCCATAGTAAAAGTGTCTCAGGCAAACGGTATTTTGCGGTGAATTTTGAGCCGTGTGGAAATGCATCATGAAGTAAATTCAGCGAAAACATTATCACGCAACGATATCTTCACGTCTTTTGATCTTCACTATACGAAAGAACATACATTTTTTAGCATGTATGGGGAATTTCTAGTTAATCCAATAATAAATATGGCAGTTAGAGGCCTGCTAAGAGTAACATGTCGCCGGCTGAGGCGGGCTCGGCCGATGCGGGAAACGCAGCAATCACAATTTTGTGTTTACACGTTCATATTTCAATTGTTTACCAACCGATTTTCAAAATTCTTTCACCATAAGATTGCCTGTACATTTCTTAGTCTTCTCACAAAATTTGACGCGAATCAAACGTAATCAGCGGTAGGGAGCGCGATGTAAAGACGGAACCATTCCGTTCCGTCCCGGCACAGTCTACAATTCAGGCGGCGCGTAGCGGTCGGCGCCGGCTGCCGAGTCGCCGCGTCGCTGCGGCGACAGGATGTTCACTTTACACCGCTATTACTAGAACAGTTGTGAACCGATTTTCTTATTGCTTGCACGATGAGATGTCCAATTCAATTCTTGACAGGTAGCCATAATTAATTTCGCATTAATCTTATGAGATATAGGCGAAAAACAGGAGGGGTGAGCGAAATTCGCTCCTCCCCCTCCACTGCGCGTGCTAACATACGTTTGCATATGTGCAATTTTCTTCAAAACTTATGAATGGCCCACTCTAATTTTTTCACAGGTTGTTAAGAATATGGTAGGCAATAAAATATATGAAAATGAGCCAAATCGAAGGTGACGTGTTTTTTGCTATTTCAATATTTGTGCTTAAGAACAGAGTTAAGCAAATTTCAAGGTCATGTATTTAAGTAGGTGCAATTCTAAACAAATGCTTAAGAAATTACCTAAGCAGTAAGGTTTAGTTCATTCAAATCAAACAAGTACAACCAAAGTTATGGTCGTTCAAAAATATAAAGATGCAACATTTTGTAAAAATTTGATGCCCTATATTTAGAAGACCTGTGGTCAGAATGTGCAACATACATCAATGTAATGTCCGGGGCCACACAGGAACTCGCTCACAAATTTATAATGAAATCGCTGATGGTAAGGTGCAAAACAGCCGATTTTTGTTCGATTTGACGTGGAATGCCCCAGTTAAAACACTATTCTTTAGAATTGTGTTTTTCTATTGAAAAACAAATCTGAGTTCCTTAACAATTTGGCAAAAGCTGCCTGAGATCAGTACAACTTGATGCTCGAGAAAACGTAACAATTGGGGACTCGGCATTCATTCTGTTTTGTGTTCTTTATCACCTTACAACTGCCTTGTTTACTACCATCGCTCAAAAGTACACAGAATCTCGTCATTAACTTATGACGGGTCGAAACAATCGATAAAACAAAGACGCCCACCTTACATAAAAGTCAATGAAAACACATTAATTTGCTATCCTGACGTTAAGCTTTGTAACATAATTGTACGCTTTAGGCACTTCAACTAATCCACTTCATTAAAGGATCACATACTACATATAATATGCGACATTGCGACAGTAAGTTCCATTTTACCGCGATGATATCACCAGCGTTCCACTCATTTTGCATGCCTACATTCTAATGGAAAATGCTACTGACGTGATGCCTGGCTCGCATTGGATAAAGCTTGGTATACTACGAATGAAGGGGTGGAGAAACGTCATCTCGAATGCCCCACATTTGGCGCGGGATTACGAACTGGCTGCAATCTGGGCCAAATAATAGACAAGCATCGAGGCCGGTTTTGGGGCATGTATCCGATCATCTATGTAATCTGGTAGAAAATATATTTCTCACGTCTGACATGGTATTTGTATCTACTTCGAAGTGTGAAGTATAACAGTAGCCAAGCAAGGCAATGGGCTGTCTAAGCAGGTTACCAACACGATATGTCTATTTTAGAATGTCTTCATTGCGGTAAGATGCCAATGAGAGTAATTGGTTTATGATGTGTTAGGATGCTTTTAATCCGTTATCGAACGATGGCAATAAATGTTTGCAAGATATTACGAACAGGACAAAGTGGTAAAAGTATCAGCAAAACAAGTTCCTGGTTTTCTATCACAATGGAAATGCTAAAGACGTTCTTATATGAAACATATTGCATTCGCGATCCCATCCGTGAGAATTAGGCTATGTAGGTTACATGATACTACGCGGCTGAAAGTGCGAAATGTTTTTAGATATTAGCTACCATCAATAGTATGAGTGACTTAACAATACTTTGAACAAAAAGAATGCAAATGCGTTAATCAGTCCATAAATTCCCATGTTTTAGAATGTCACTGTTAGGAGTGGTA